GTAACTGGAGTTGTCATCATCTTGATGACTCTGGAGTCATATGCACCGGTTCTGGTACAGGACAGGAGGGTGAGGACAGGCTTACATTAAAGGTGCAAGGCTCTGTAATCAGTATGAAATAGCCCTGGGATACAGATGTTACAAAGTGGGTGGAGTAAGGAGCTTCTACTCTGAAATAGATGCCTTCAAACTGTACTGACAGTATTCAAACTGGCTACTTTTTCAAAGATTTCTGCCTTCCAACTAATTTTCTAAATAATACGAGATAGTACAAAAATAAGTCTTTAAGGTTGGAGGAAGGAAAAGAATAGTAGATATTTATTCTCTGAAGTTTCTATTAAATATCTTCAGCACCTCCACTTTAACCTAAAAAACAGAGTAACTTTTAATATTCATCAGCTGAGAACATGTAATTTTTTCCATTGCTCTCTTTAGCTTTCAGAAATGTAAGCAACAGCCTAGCAAATACCAACTGCTAATAACTAATTTGAGTCTTAGCTACTTTAGTATCTGCTTCCAATACTGATATTTGTTAGAAATGGTCTGCCAAGCAGGTCAACATACCCATCTATCTGTAAAACAAATGCAAGTTACTACTCATAAAATATATTCAAAGGCTACTGGCAATACACAATATTTCAGATTAAATCAAATCATGGACTTGTAAAACTTTATACATTGCTTTGGCTTTGACAGCATTTTCAACTAAAGAATCTGTTGATGGCATTTTCAAGTAAAGAATTTGTATATGGTGATCCAGCAAAATGTACTTCTTAATTTTATCAACTTTACTTACGTGCATACAACAAAACTAACTCATATGTAGTGATCACAGTATAAAGCAATTGTCTAAATCTGGCAGCACTGCTGATAGGAGACAACAGGAATGTCCATGACTTCATGTCAGGGCCATGGAGCGATTTCTGTGAGACACCAGTGGAAGGGTGTGGTCATCTGTGGCTTCTGTGTGAGCTACTCCTGTGGTGGTAGCAACCTCAGGAACCCAGTGGCAGCTTAATGCAGAGAACTACTGCTTGCCTCAGGAGGCAGTGAAGAGTCACCCACACGCCTGCAGGGAACTGACCACTATGCCAATGTCTAAACACTGAGCTGGTCTTGATTTGCCTCTCTCTAAAATTAACTCATCAGCTCAGCAGGAAGAGGACTATATTATTATTGTTCATACAATTAGATGACAAATAGCCACTAGCATGCGATTCATTTAAAGAATCAAATGATACTCACTAAAGTCATCTCAAGGTGCTATTACTTTCAAGTGGCAAAAAAAAAAAAAAAAAATCAGGTCATGTTTACTCTTAAAACACTGGTCATTAAGGTAAGTGTGCTGTACGTTATACAGCTATGCAGAGACACTTTGTCAGCAGTAATACTTACTTGCAGCTGTGGTGAGGAGTCTGCAGGCAAGCTATGCGATGACCTGCTCCGAGGTGGGGGCTGTGGTGGGGTTTCCAAATTCGGTTGAGGGCCAGAAGGAGGCATGGGTGCTGCCACGGGGACAAGAGGCTCCTGCAGCTTTTGAGCAGGTGGGGGCAGAGGAGGCTGCAGAGGGAATGCAGCCTGAGGCTTCAGTGGTTCTGGAAGGACAGCTGGACCTAAAACACCGAGGGTTGTCACGTCAGCAGTGTGCTCGAAGCCGTGGCTTCTCTCTATTCTGGTTGTTTCCCTTCTCCATGGCAACAGCCTCGCTTCCAGGGGAATAAGGGAGAAGACCCCCCATTTGAGTAAGTTAGATCTTATGCATGCAAGCAGGCAGGCAGGCAGGCAGGCAGGCACGATGGGAAGAGAAAGGAAAAGGAGAAGCACGGGGCAGTGTGCTCCCGGCACTCCTACCTTTCGATGTCTCTGGAGGCTTGCTCTGGGTTTCAGGGGTTGGCTTTCCGGCAGATGCCCGGGCCTGGCTCTGAGGGGCACTGATCACTCCAGCCCGTGCTGGAATTGTCTAGAGATGGGAACATACTAGTGACATTAACTTCATTTGTGACTGCATCATCTCTACTTTAAATTAAGGTAAAGGCATGCATACAGAGGAAACAGTATTAGGATGTAACTCTGTGCCTGGCTGGCTGCATGCAAGGCGAGGGACTTGACCACAGCAGTGCTGACTTCATGAAGAATGAGGCAGTCTGGAGGCTTAAATGATGGAGACAAACTTTACATACTAAGAGACTTCAGAATCAACCTCTCCCAGACATTTTTTTTTTAGTGACTCCTTTTATTTTACGTGCACCGGTGTTTTGCCTGCATGTATGTCTGTGTGAGGGTGTCAGATCCCCTGGACCTGGAGTTTCAGACAGTTGTGAGCTGTCATGTGGCTACTGAGAATTGAACCTAGGTCCTCCGGAAGAACAGCCCATGCTCTTAACCACTGAGACATCTCTGCCCTCCCTGGTTTTTTAAAACATGAAATAACATTCTTAAATGTCTAACTAAACAAGACAGAAGACACATTGGTGAAAAATTCTTTCTATTCTTGTATTTTTGTTGAAGGGTCTAAGCCTATAATAGTTATTTAAAGCCAAAGTTACTTTTTTTGTTTGCTTGTTTGTTAGGGTCTGGGTTTTTTGAGCTAAGGTGGTCCCAGGCTGCTCTGGGACTCATTATGAAGATCAGGGTGGTCTTGGGCTCGTGACAGCACTTTTCTTGCCTTTGCCACCCAAATGCTGGGGCTACAGATATAAGACACCAGGTGCTCAGACCATCAGGCCTGCATAACAAACCCTCTACCCACTGAGCCATCCCCATGGTCCTGTCTCAGCCATAGATTTATAAAGTATAGAAAAAAAACTGTAAGCCATCTGCCTTCCTATTTTTATCTTTAGAACCAGTTTAAGTACTCTATTATAATTTTATGATAATTAAAGGCTTTAATACTTTTTTATTTTTTTTTTGATACAAGGTCTCTCTACATAGTCCTAACTCTTCTGGAACTTACTATGTAGACCATGCTGGCCTCAGTCTCATAGAGATCTACTTGCTCCAGAATCCTCAGTGTTGGGATTAAAGTTGTATGCCACGTTGGGTGGAAGGATAACTTTGTATTTCTATTGATTAAATAGGCTACCTGATAAACAGCTATACAAATACATTACTTCTTCATATTTTAAGAGACATCAAGATGTTGATTTACTGACCATAATTAAGTACATTATTTTTATTCCAATAAGTTAGTGTAGTCATTTTGGAGGTGTGTGAGAAAGGTTAGAGCTGAGATATAGCTTGGAGCTTACCAGTTCCCTTATTTTAGAGTTGAAGAACTAAAGTCTGGGAGGTTTCTCCCAATTCTTTCCATGGTAACAAACAGATTAGCCGTAAATTTGAACTTAGAACAAACACCTCCTAACTCCCAGGCCAGGGTGACTTACCGGCCTGGCTACAGCATACCCGGCAGGCCCTGGGCCTGCAAGTCCTGCTTGAGGTGAAGGCTGATTACGCCCTGAAACAGACATCACACTGTGTAAATTTAAGAAAGTTAAAAAGGTAAAAAGAAATAAAAAACCATATACTTCTATTCCAAGTGTCTACTGCATGGTCCAGTTTTAAGGGGAAGTAACTACATTCAAGTGTGTTTACCTATATTATCTTTCCGTGTTGTTCCCGGGCTTTTGGGTGCTTTGAAGCAGAAAGGAAAAAGAATCAGCCATAAGTAAACAATAAAACAACAGTTTATGGCATCACCTGGTTGCGCTGTTCATTGCCAGCAGAGAGAAAGGCTTGAGACGGCAACAAAACAAGCACTTAGCTTTGTATAAAGATAGAAACTGGAGTATTAGAGAAACCCGCATGGCAGACAAAGTCACACTATCTGTCACTATGGTGACAGTCTTCACAGACCTATGTCCATGAACCTTGAAGACCTGGTCACCTGCTCCTTACAGCTTGGCAGTCAAATGGCTCCTGAGCCACAGCTCCTCATAGTACGGGCTGACTGTGGGTAAAGTTACCTAAGAGTGAGTTCTTTCTGAATCTACAATAGACTACTACCGGGATCAAGAGAGAAGGCAGGTCTAGACATATTTATATGCAGTTACAGTATGGTTCAAACTCAGAGAGGTGGCGGCCTAAGGATGAAGTGAAAATTACTATGGGGGACAGAAAGAATAAAAGACACTACCAAGCGTTATCTTAGATTTTCCATTTTGAGAAGAAATTCAAGTACAATGGTTATACTAAATACAGCAGGCCATAGATAATTGTAGTCTTAACAAATGGTCCCAATTTTAGTGATCTTCTAAGCAAATCTAGCCCAATACCAGAATATTTAGAAACCCCTTTTATAGAGGAAAATCTATAAAACACTAGATCCTAGGACCTTAAAGTTACTGGTTTATGAACCTTCAGGTTCATCAACAGCACTGGTAAACATGTGACTTATTCACGAGGAGAAAATGATGGTGTCTTTCAACAGTCATTTCACAGTCCGGGTACACAGGACTAGGTATGAACAACACAGGAACTTATCCTCAGAGATGAGACATTAAACAGATAGCCACTGGGAACTAACTATACATACAACACAGAAGGAAAAGAGAAAAACAGGAGGTGTGTATAAGGACAAGGAGAGGTGTCAACTTTGGTAGGGTTTAGTAAGCCATGAGACACCGGAGGGGCTGACACTTAGAACAAGAACCATATCTATAATGCAAAAGTCTTGTTACCTTCCATCTCTCTCCTAGCTACCCCAGGACTGGGAGGTGCTCCAACACCTTTTTAGAGAAAGAACAAAAGCTATGTATTGTTCAGAACCCACAGCATAGGATGAAAGGCAGGTACACAATTATTCTCGTGAAGGGTCTTTCATTGCTTTACATCTTTGGAAGTTATCAAAGCGACTTTAGCTCAAAACGGACTCCTCAAATGCAAGAACAGAAGCAGGAACACAGCTTACTTTGCACATCTGAAATTACCAGCAGTAAGGAATCAAAAAGTCTAATGCAAAACTTTATAATCATCTCATTTCTTCTATCTAGATTATTAATACATTATTCAGTAGTCAAAAGGAAAATAATCATAAATGAAGTTTCAAGTTCATCTTAAATTTCTAACACTTAGGAGTTAGTTCTTGATGTATTCTCTGGGCTTACTGTCTCAGAGGCTTACTGGCTGCAGAATAAGATAAGCTGTAGAATAATTATGAAGAGAAGCATTTTAAAATGGAAACACATTTCTAAATAAGCTACTGGTTTGCTAATATGATACAAGTTTTCACATGTTTATTTCAAAATTTATTTTCTATAGATTGGTTTCCTGGTAAAGTGGAATTCACCCTAAAAATAAAAGATTTTTGAAATGAAAATAGTTTCATAAAAGCTACACTGTTCAAATCATGTAGGTATCCTTATTACAAAGTTACCCAAATCTTCATCTAAGCAGTGTTAGCTGGCCACAACTGACCCTGAATCTTAGCTCACTGACAATGTCAGGTAGCTGAAGACATCAACTCTGTACGGCCAGGGGCTTTAGGAGCATTAATGCTGGAGCTGCTAAGCTCTGAGAATAACTGGTACAACCTCCATGCCCCCCCCCGCCCATCCATCCATCCATCCATCCATCCATCCATCCATCCATCCATCCATCCATCCATCCACTTATTTATTTTTACAATTTCCATCTTTATTGAGACTTAGAGGAAATGTACTCTTTAATAAACCCTTCAGAATGAGCTGCCAGTTTCACCTCTGTGTGTGTATAAGTGTTGTGGATTGAATCCATGGCTTGCACATACCAGGTAAGCACACTTGGTACATTCCTAGCTCTACTTTCAGTTTTCATGTTAACTAAATAATTAGTTATTATTATTTATTTATTTGATTTTTCAAGACAGGGTTCCTCTGTGTCACAGTTCTGGAACTCACTCTGTAGACCAGGCTACCCTCGAACTCACAGAGATCCACCTGTTTCTGCCACCCAACTGCTGGGATTATAGGTGTGCACCACCACCACCCAGCATGCATTACTTTTTAAATAAAAGCATCCAGTACTGAATAAAACTTACCTCACTGAAAAGAAAATCACAGTTTTACGTAAACAAATGATACAACAATTTAATGAGTTATTCGAAATGCAAAATAAGGTATAGTTTATTAGTTCTACTCACAGATAAAACTAAGCTCTAGTATGTTAACAGGGATAAATAAAGTATGGAACTTTATTTATTTATTTATTTATTTATTTATTTATTTGTTTGTTTTTTTTGTTTTACGAGACAGGGTTTCTCTGTGTAGCTTTGGAGCCTATCCTGGCACTCACTCTGGAGACCAGGCTGGCCTCGAACTCACAGAGATCCACCTGCCTCTGTCTCCTGAGTGCTGGGATTAAAGGTATGCGCCACCAAGTATGGAACCTTATAATGTGGAGTATAAATGTCAATCATTCTAACCCTTACCAAACAGGCCTAAACTGTCTCTTGAGTTATAGAGTTCTAAGTCCAAAACATTATTAATAAACCAGCATTCATACAGGATAGCAAATGTAAATGGTTACCTCCAAATTCTTTTCTAGCAGGTGCAGGACTCCTAGCCCCTTATAGTTCATAAGAAATTAGGCAGCAGAAAGGAAATGACATTAAATGAAGAGTTGAAATGTCAAGATCTGCTCCAGTAGTCATGATAGCACATATGGTTATGTAAAAATCCAGGCAGTACACAAAGCTGTCATTCAATGCATATGCTCACAGGAAGTGAACACTATATGTAGCTAAGAGAACATTTAAAGACATACGTAAAACATCTTAAAATATGTATGCTCTTCAGTTCTAAATGAAAATTTCCATAAATTAATAAATGCTAATTGTCTTTATAAAGCTACAGATGAGGAATTTAAAAAATTAAGCCCAGTTTTATCCAAGAACATCATACATGCCTAAGCACATCAAATTAGCAAGACCCAGACAAGCTTCCCCAGTGCACAGGCAAAGAGGCAGCTGGACACATGCTTGAGAAATCTGCAGGACAGACACACTGTCCTGTTGCTCCTGAGTCCTTTGGAAAAGCTTAAGGAATAACAATGATCATACAAACACAAATAAACCCAGAGTCTGGCAGCATGAAAACACCCAAAATGCTTTTACGAGGAAGAGGAGGAGGAGAAGGAGGAGGGGGAGGAAAAGAAGGAGGGGAAAGAGGAGGAAGGGGAGGATTTTAAGTTAGGCAGGTATCCTAGGAGTAACTGGTTACCTGAAGGTGGAGGTGGTCTCTGTGGCGGGGCAGGACGTGCTGGAGGAGCAACTGGGCGGGGAGGGGGTGGCCTCTTGGGCTCTAAGGTCTGGAAAGGATCCTTCTGGGCAGTTGGCTGAGTGTCACCTGGAGAACCTACAAAGTGAGTAGGTCAGATCTGGTCCCGACAGGGAGCGAGTGGGAAGGAATGTGCATATGTAATCTTCTCTCTAAATTTGTGTGCACTAAACAAAGAGTAAACCATATTCAGTGTGAATAAAGCAGCAGTCTACATGGGGCCACCTTCTGGAACCATGGTGCTACCCTGTGCTGACCTCTTATATGGCAAAGATGCTGAAAGCTGACTTGCTGAGGAGTTCCATTAAGGAACAAAATTTACTGTTTGAATTCAGCCATACACAACTTGCTAGCCAGCAAAGAAGCAGGAGGGAGCCCTAGTAGTCAAGCATTCTTATCATAGAATAAAAAATCACAGGTTGTAAAACAGACAATCTTAACCACATCCATAGGATTCTCATTTGGCGATAGCAATGATGAGCATCTGCTCCACTAAGAGTTATTTATGGTGATGGAAACCCGCCTCTTGTCTACAGGGCACTCAGTGCATGGGCTGAAAAGCTAAACCATGTTTACTGGTTAGTTTCTGTCAACTTGATACACGTTAGTCAGTGAGGAAGAGGTAAACTCAACTGAGAAATTAATTGCCTTCATCAGATATGCCTGAGGGCCAATTTCCTTGATTAATGACTGGTGTGGGAAGGCCCAGACCATTGCGGATGGTGTTATCCTTGGTGGTCCAGGTGGCATAGGACAGTGGGCTGAGCTGGCCATAGGGAGCAAGCCAGGAAGCAGTCGTCTTCCAGGGCCTCTGCATTAGCTCCTGACCCCAGATTCTTGCCCTGAGCTCCTGTCCTGATTCCCTTAATGAACCTGTAAGTCAAATAAACCCTTCCTTCCCCAAACTGGTTTTGGCCAGTGTGTTATCAGCAACAGAAAGTAAACTAGGATACAACAGTTCTCCAAAGTTCAAACAAGCTGGCTAGACAGAATCACAGACATTTAAAGTAAAGTACACACCCTGTGAACTCGGAGGCCCTGGAGTTCTTGATGGTGCACGGATTGGTCTGACAGGAAGAGACGGTGCGGAGTACTCTGGCACTGTAGGTGACTGGCAGGGACTGGTTCGGGGTGAGGAGCTTGGAGAAGTGCCAAGGCCAGAACTTGAAAAGGGCTGCAGATGCTGAGGAAGAAGCTCCTCTACTTCAGCACTATAGTCATCAACATCACCTGTCAGAAGCAAGGCCAGCAAAGACAGCGCCATTTTCACTTTTCCTACATATTAGGCTTTACAGGCTACAAGATACAAAGGGTCACGACCCCACAGGCTGAGACTACTGCTCTAACCAGAGCCTCCCACTTCAAGACTGCTCACCCAACACAGACCCCATTTCTCCTGTCAGGTCTCAGCTGCAAACTCACCAAAGGGCTGGAAAGTGGGCTCAGGGTACCCTGTGCAACAAGATTTGCACCCAGAGCATCAGCCTTCTTTCCAAGCCCCATTTTTAAGGCTATGTCACCAGGAGTCTATGGGACACCTTTATTCCACCTACCTCAGAAATCTCCACCCTCCGTGCTTCCAGTGACAGGAACTAAGGACTCGTCAGTCATTCAGGACTAAGTCGAAAGCACGATGCTAAGTGGGCCCTACCACCTTTCTGCACATACCAAAGTCCTAAGGACAGCAAGTGGAACAGCCTCAATGCCTCAGTATTGTCCTCGCTGACAGGACTGCTCCCACACTGTGGACAGCACACCCTCAGATACATGACTTACTAGCCTGCAACACTTTATTTGTCCAGTCCTTCAGCTCTTTCCTTTCCCTTCCCCAAGATCCAGGGCTTGTGCCCTAGCATTTTTAGCCCCATCCGATGTGGCCTCCTCTGTTTAGCTCCAGGCAGTTCTTCACTTAACCACTCCCAGATGCATGATTCTCCCACTGCCCATGCCCGACAAACCCCTCTCTCATCAGCCCCACTATCTGACGTCCCGACAGCGCACTTGGTCAGTGTATGCCACTTCCTGAAGAAAACCACACAAACCTCATGGTCAGACCAACAATGTCTGTAGCTTTCAATCTCCTCTGGGTCTCCCAAGTTGCCTGAAAATTCTCATTTCTTGTTTGGTTATTTCTCTCATTCCCTTTTGCCAGAAACACCATTTCAAAGCGTCTCAAGTCCCCTGAAACTGTGGACTCTCCCATTCCTACAAATAATGTGAGAACTTAAAGTTCTTAACAAAGAGAAGTCTGGAGATGGAGCCTCCTTCACAGAGGAGGTCCAGGGTACCCCACTTTCCTCGGAGACTTTGCCGTTCTCTGTCAACACTTTCACAGTATCAGCGTCCACCTCTGTGCCAGCCCCTTTTAGCAGTACTAGCATTCTCAGGCTCCCCTAATTTAAAAGTAACTGTTCTGTACCTACCCAGAGCAATTTTGCCATGTAGTTTTACCATACCACAAAATTACTCTTACAAAGGTCACTAACAGCATCCCTAACCATTCCTAAATCAGGCAAGTTCCTGTCCTTATTTTTTCACTCATCTCTCTGAGGTTTGAGATATCGTGGAACTGTTTACACTTTCTTTCTTGACTTTAAAAGTGTTTTTATTTTTATGTGCGTAAGAGTTCTGTTTGCAGGTTATGTATGTGTAACACAAATGCAGTGCCTGAAGAGGCCACAAGAGGCATCAGATCCCATGGAACTGGAGTTACAGATTCACCATGTGGGTAATGGGAACCAAACCTGGGTCCTCTACAAGAGCAGTCGGTGCTCTTAACCACTGAGCCATTTCTCTAGCCCCCTGATTTTATTTTATTTTTTTTTTAAACTACAAACTTTCTCATGAGGTACCAGACTAATCAGCATTAATTATTACACCGGATACCACTTACTGTGATTGCCTGCATCTTGTGTGAAACACCTAGTAAACAGTTGTAGAAGGAGCTAACAGAGACCATGGTCACAGAATTTGCAGCTTCTGGCATGCACCTCTCTGACGGTTCATTCTGATTCAACTTGTTGGGCTGAGAGAGCAGTGAAGCCCACCAGCGGATATGTCTGTGACAGCACCGGAGGTAACAGCTCTGACACAATGAATGGAGGGACCAATGACCCACGGATGCATGGGAAAATGGCATTGTTGGAAAGTGGTAAAAAGTTGGAAGGACTAGGTCAGCAGGAGTTTGTCTGGGTCTGTTTCCTGCCCTGACCGCCTCTCACTTGCACACCCCCCTTCTTTGCTTGTCTGCTGAGAAGACCAGCTGCTACCATCTGTCCCTGCCTCCAGGAGGCTCCTCCAAGTGTATGGGCCAATCAGCCCAGGACTGAACCTCTGAAATCATGAGCCAATAAACACTCTCACCTTAACTTGTTTCTGAAGGTGTTTGGCCACAACCAGAAAAGGAACCAATGCAACTTGGCATCCAAAAATTACATATTTATGTGTGGATCAAGTAAATGAGCAATATAAAAGAGTGATTATCTTAAAAGATGTTTAGCTTAGAAGTGTTATCTAGCAGTGTAGAGTCAGGTACACATTTTTGGGGAGGCCAATGATGGAACCCAGGGTCTTACACACACTAAACATTCACTTTATTACAAAATATATCCTAATGAAAATGATGCTCACACATATGTAGTATTAGAAAGCAAATGTACTTTCAAATAATGTTTAAGAAAACCACAATACCCAGATAATTTGTTTCAAAAGTTCAACTGAAGTAGACACCTTCATATGCACGGGTTCTGTTTCACATGAATGTGTTCCTCGTCACTTGGGCATTTTGAATCCCTCTGGAACATTTCCTTTGCAGTAATTACTATGAAATTGTTTTGGCAGTAAAAAGATTCATTTGGAACTTCTGCTCAACTATAATTATTGGCACAAACTGGCACATTCAAAATACTACTCTGTGCTTTTTTTTTTTTTTTTTTTTTTTTGGTTTTTCGAGACAGGGTTTCTCTGTGTAGCTTTGGAGACCAGGCTGGCCTCGAACTCACAGCAATCCTTCTGCTTCTGCCTCCCGAGTGCTGGGATTAAAGGCGTGCGCCACCAACGCCCGGCTACTCTGCTTTTATCATACAATATAAACTAAAATATTCAAGTGTATTTACTATTAAATGATAAAATAGCATATAAATTACCAAGTCTAAGGTAATCAGACAAACTATTATTAATACTGTGTTCAGGAGAGATAACTGGGATACAAAGTCGATAATGCTGGGAGGGAGCAAACAACATGCAGAGTACGTCTGCGCAACATACAAACCTTCCAAGTCAAAATCCGCTGCGACCTCTGCATCCTCCCCCAGCAGGGTGGAGCTTGTTGATGAGGGCAATGTGACACCGATCTTCTCTAAACTCATCTCTTCTTCCAAATTCTTGATCCAGTTTGGGCTTTTTAAAGTAATTGTTATAGTCCGATTTAATAACTATTGGCATAAAAAAGGATACAGGAGAAAAATGTATTAACACAGAAACTAACGTAGGAGAAGGGTGCCTATGCTCCATAAGGCAGCGGCATCCACAGCTTAGTTGGATTCTAGGCAAAATAAATTCTTCCACACATCCTAAGAATTTCCCACGTGCAGGGTGTTCACCACTCTGCCTTTAAAAGCTTATGACGCCAAATAAAGGTAGTTAGGATTCCTTTTCTCTAGCCAGTATCACTTCCTGGACAAATACAAACTACTGATAGTCTGTTATATAATTCCGATTTGGATCCATAAATTAAACAAGTGCTCCTACACCAAAACAACTGCAGAAGAGACAGAAAGCCTTGCATATACTTGCTGTCATTTGGTCCTCTTTAATTTGTTCCATGTGCTAACCTATGGTTTTAGCATTTCAAATGTCGGGAGAATGTTGTGCGAAGATTATTTTAAATCTTACACAAAAATTAACTGTTCTGGAAATAGAATGGCTGAAACTTATAAAGCAAGCTACAGCTTTCCTTATACAATTAAGTGACATTTAGACCTAAATATGATTTACTAAAACCACCAAGATGTTATAATCAAGTTTCACTGTCTCTCTGTATTTTTAAGTTCTTTAAAACTCTGTTGTTGGGCATGAGACTTTTTGTCAAGGACATGAAGATAATATACAGAAAAGCTCCCACTTAAAGCCCACACCATACAACAGACCAGCTTCCTAGTTACAAGCTCTTTTATACAGCTTTAGCTTCCTGTGGTTTGAAGACTCCCTTAGCTGGAAGAAGGTTTAAACTTTTAGAATATTTATAAACGACCTGTGTGGCTAATAGCTGGCACACTGTGAACAGATTACAGCTCCAAGTATTACTGCTCTCAGGACTCCTAAAGGCGCAGAGGTCAGAAGCTACTCACTTCAACAGCACGGTTTGTCTAACACCAACTGAGCCGTGAAGCCAGAGGCTTTAAATCTCTTACTTGCTTAACAGACCCAAGTATTAAACTCAACTGACTTCATCATTTACCTGCATATTTCACAAATTATTTTTTAAACCAACAAAAATCTTTTATAGTTATCAAATATTATATTCAAAAGACACTTTTTTATTGATTTGTTTGTGTGTGTATGATGCTTTTTGTTTTTTGAGACACAGTCTCACAGTGTAGCCCAGGTTGGCCTAAAACTTCAGTGAGGCCCCTGCCTCAGCCTACCAAGCGCTGGGATCACAGGTGTGTGCCACCATGCCCAGCTGCTTCAGATTTTTTTTCTCTGAAATTCGCTAATTCCTGAAAAAAATTAGGGTTAAATTAGTGGTTTTAACAAAGGCAACACATTCAAGGTCTAGAAATGTGTAACCTCTAAAAGGGTAAACTAAATATTATCTTGCATTTTGTTTTTTTTTCTAATCCATTTTGACATGAATATATTAGTACTGCATTAAAAACAAAACAAAAAACAAACTCAAGCAATATACACATGCAAATATGTTTCTTCAAGTAAGCAAGAGTAACATGACTACAAGAGAAAGCTAATAAGCTCTGGACTTCTCATTGCTGGAGAAACTGAGCCCAGAATTTGGTCTCTACTGACCATATACTTAGCAATGCAGGATTTAGCTTAAAAACAAAACAAAACAAAAAAAAACAAAATAAAACAAACAACAGATTCATAAAAATTGAGAGATGCAACCTTTCACAGAAACGTAATTACTCCAGGTCACTGATGTACTTCCCCACCTGTGACATTTCAAATCATATTCAAATCAAATAGGCTCAGACCATCCCCAGCTGTTACATTTGAAAGTGCTACAATGTGGAGTGGTTGCCATCTGTGGCAATTATGTATCCATGCTGGAAAAACGGAAGGGACATCAGAGCCTTTCTTTAGCAGCTTCCAGGTAACTCCCTGGAAATGATGAGGACCTTCTGCCATGCTCTTGTAAAGAGGCATGTCCTCCACTTGATAATGTACAGAAGAGCTGTACATTAAGGGAATGTCTGCCCTTAATTAAAAATTGATATGTTTTGCATTAAATATGGTAGAAATCAAATTAGGCAGTGCACATATTTTTCATTTCTATCAATGGTTAATATCTCTAAGGAGAAAGGAAAATAACTCCAAGTTAGGCAGACAACTAGTTTAAATAAAAATATTAAGTAACCCTCACGTAGTTCAGTCTTCTAGTTTCATTAACTGGAAATACATGTGGACACTCTCATAGCATGCTTATAAAAGTACAATCTTCAGACACTTCAAATGGTTTAGAATCATCAAATCTATCTTACCTCTTTTCCATTTAGGCTCAGAACATTCAAGGCAGAGCTCCCCTCCAAAAATGTAACCCACATTTTATCTTCTACGAATCTTTAAGAAAAAGAAAAGGGATACATAAGAAAAGGGCCTCTTTCAAGAAGACCCTTGCGTTAGAAGCTGCATCTCCTGGCTGCACAGTGAGGGAGGCACTATGAATTTTCACTGTTTCAGTGACTTTCCTACAGGCCAATTCCTTTGATTGAGAAGGAAACTCCAAACAACCCAACTAATGGTCACAAGGAGCTTAGGGTTAGGTGTCTGAATGCACAAGACTCTTCTTCCTCAATGGGTCTTTGCTACGACTCCAAGTTTATACTTTGGAAATAAGAAACCCACCAAAAGGAAAAAATGAAACAAAAGCCACATTTTGAAGAGTCACTGATTATCTAATTATGTTTATTACCAAAGAATAAAACAAAGTTTATCTGTCTTACTTACAAAAGAAATTCTGCAAACTGAACTTCTCCCACTGTATGGAGAAAACCTTTTTGTCTCATGCTCAGAGTCTAAAAGATTATGAATTTTAAGAAATAAAAGTGTGCCAAACTATGATACTGAAGTTAAGTGCACATAGAATACATCTTACAATCACTCAGGCATGACCAAGATAACTGACTCAGCTTCTCTGGCATGAAGTTTTAAGTAACAACAATGTTGCCATTTGAAATACACAGGGATGGTCATGGGGGATACCCACCCCTCTGCAAGGCTGTTCTTAGATGTACCTGTGTCATGAGCTCCAAACATCGTTTGTTCTTTGGGAACTGCACCAGGACCAGAGCTGCACACCTCCACACCCACCTCTACTTTCCTTTTAGTATCTGCTGTCCTTTATCAGTTTGCTATCACTGGTGCAACAGACACCCCATGGCTTTTTATCACAGTAACACCCAGTTTTCTTTTCAATACTTTCCCTGATGTTGACAATACTCTCGAGGAAAGGTTTTAGCTTCCATTCTGAACTAACAAGAACCCAGTGAGTTAGAAAGACACAAGCCCCTGCTCCTTTACCAGTCTCTCTTGTACCATTTAGAGTCTTCTAGTTCAATGCTATATTTTACATTTGCTCATAAAGCTACTTGCTGCCCACTCACACAGTTCACAGATGTTTCCTGTGGTCTGACATTTCTATACTTGACGAGGCTCACTGTCATCTGTAAACCTGGGAGATTATACAGTGTACTGTCTAGAGCTGTTTGTTCGTTTTAAAGTCTTTTAGAAGCTAATTAATTCATTATTGCCAAGGCATACACATGGAGGTCAGAGGACAACTCTGTGGAGTCGGCTGTCTCCTTCCACCCTCATATGGATCCCGGGATGGCACTCAGGTAGTGCCTTCATTCACCGAGCCATCTCTCAGGTTCAGATTTTATAAGATTTTGAAGATTTAAAATACACTGCTCTCAAAGATGTGCAAGAGGGGTAAGAAAAACCAAAGGGTCAGAAGTCTAAACACAATTTCTTTCCATTTGTCCCTCTGCTCCCAGAAAGGCCCTCATGTGTCTCGGGCATGAGTCCCACTCCACACAAACTCCCACAGTGACTTTCCTAAGCAGATTATAAGCACATGCCATGCCTTTCACGTCTCCTCTGCTCTTCTGCAGTACCTCGTATGGATGTCTGAACACAAACAAAACATGCCAGAAACAAATGAACAACATACAAAAGAAATGAGTAGCACTTCTTTCCCTGTGGAATTAAAAGACACACATGAAACTCAATTGTTGCACATGTGAAAGAAAACACTCTTAAAACGAGAGCATGTGGTTAGTCAATAGGGAACAGAGCCTGGAACAGATGGCTCCTGTAATTCACATGTCTTCTGGCTGGAAATAGAACATTCACCATTTATAATGACCTTAGACATGACCTTTCTTAAACTCAGGAACAACAACAAATCCCTCCAGCTTATTTATTTACTACAGGTAGTTATTTACATACTCTCTATGTACTCTGCTGGCTTTGAACTCACGACCCTCCCACCTCAGCCTCTTGAATATGGAGGTACTGGTCCCTTTACTTTTGTCTCTCTTAATACTAAAATTACCAACCACAGCTTCATTCTCACAGAGCTTGCTACATTGCTCCACTGTAGAGGAATCTTGATGAGGTCATTCCCAAACTCAAACATACCTTTGTCTTCCATTGTTCATGTAAAAGTTTCACTATTCATTTTTTAAGTTTTCTAAGTAGAGAATTTGATTTCAAAACCCACTAGGAGTTCTTGAGCAACACCCCAGGTAGAGTTCTTTGGTTTGGAAATATCACACTTACACACTAGTCAGTCACCAGATTAGGGTTTCCAGTGTAGAGTCTACTGCTTCTGATACACTCTGGTCAGTCGGACGCCTCACTCACCTGATGAGAATGACTTCACCAAAATGTGCGAACTGCTTCAGGAGCTCGTCAATCAAAGCATCATCAAAAAAATTATTTCCTTGTGTAGAGCTTTTGATTGAGACCAGTACTGTGCCATCTGGAGGGCCTTGGACTGCAATGACTTCTTTATAAATTTTTTGTCTCTCTTCAGCTTCAACTTCAAATATATCTATATCAATCAGGGCAACGACAGGCCTTAAGGCACAAAGGAAATGCATTAGAAATGTTTCTAAAGGGGTTTATTTCAAACAAACTTCAAGCATCATTAAAAACTGAAGCTGTTTAAACCTATGGTCAGAAGTCTTCAGCTCGGCTCTCCCATAGTGCAGCAAAGTGCCCGGGGTCCATGTGTAAAGGATTTTACTTTCATCTTGGAAACTAGCATTCAGAAGATCCAAATCTTCAGCTGCAATCAGAATAAAAGACAATTCAAGAGAGGCCACATGAGTAAGAGAGGTCATATGACACAAACAGGTGCCACTTCCTTGTAGAGCCTTCAACAGTCTGAGGCTAACATGCCAAAACTCCGGAAGCAGACAGCCCAGAAATGTTACAGACATGTCTGTCACATCATTTTCTTCCTTACTGGGGAGAACAGAAATGCTGCTCACTTCTAAGATAACTGAGACCTGGGTAGGACCAAACCCTGCTTCAGAAAAGCCCAAATAGCCAAGTGTCATTTTCACAACTGCAATCAGCCATTTTACAAAATAGACGTTTCCTCACTTTACAAGAAATCATGTCACTAAAAAAATAGGCATGAAATGCTTATCACTCTTCCCCTCACAAAATCCACCTTAATTTTCCTAAATAAAAAAGTCTACTTCTAACCTGATCTGTCAAAAGGCCACTTCCTCCTTCTCCAGAGGACTCGGTCTGTCCATGCCGGGGTGCGGCACTTCTCACTGGTGTCATAGTCTTCAGAAAACAAGTCATATTTATAGGTTGGAGCAAATGTCACTTTTCCCTCTAAAAATCCTCTAAAAATCTAAAATAAACATACACAAAGTTACTCCAAAACATACAGATATTCATGTTTTTACTTAAAAATTCTTGAGTTTGGAGACTCTATGTGCAATGAAATATGATCAAATTCACCCGCTACTCCTCCCCTTCAATTCTCCCCCAGTCCTGTCAGCATCACATCTTCTTTTGGTAGCTCATTAAGCCCCGCCCATTAGTGCTGTGCATATGTGCACAGGTGTGGGGTCATCCATTACAACAGTGGTTCTCAACCTTCCTAATTGCAACCCTTTAATATACTTCTTCATGTTGTGGTGACCCCAACCATAAACTGTTTTTGTTGCTACTGCTCTAAATTATAATGTAAATATGTGTGTTTCCCAATGGTCTTAGACGAGCCCAGGAAAAAGGCCATGACCCACAGCTTGAGAGCCATTGCACTACAGCATGGGAAACCTACCAGTGGCCATGCCACAGTCGGAAAAGAATAATGTCCCACCCGCTAGCAACTATCAACTGGCAATGCTCTCCCAGAAGGTGTGAGGCCCAGAGATCATCCACCCCATGTATGCTGCAACTCTGACTGACTTGGTCCTGTTGAGTTTTGTGTGGGTTCATGACTGACACAGGTGTGTTGTCACAGCACTCCTTGTCCTGCTGACCTTGCATTGTCTCTGAACGTTGATGGCGGTGGTGGGGTTAATACGGATGTATGATTCAGGGACCACCCAGTGTCTTATTCTCAGCACTCTGGCAGGTGGGCATCTCTCCACTGACTGCTGACACTACAAGAAGCAGCTTCTTTGATCAAGGCTGAGAGCAACCTAAGCCTGTTGGTATCGGTGTATGTGTGTATATGTATGCATGCGCATGTGTGCACACCCACATCCATGGAGGCCAGAATGGGGCTTTGGATCCAGGGTCATATGATAGAGCAGCAAGTGTTCCTGACCACTGAGCCATCTTCTCTAGTCCTATACTTTTATTCTTAGGTGCTGGATAGTCTCCTATCAAATATCTATCTATCCAGTGAACACTTCTAACAGAGCTGAGTAACAACCCCTACCCAAACCTAGCATGTGACCTTTTCCCTGTCACTTAACTTTTCCATTAATGAAACTTTAAAAACATGAATAAAGGAAATCACCCTCTCTATGAGACAGCCACGTAGCTCAGGAGTAGGGCACTTGCCTCAAAAGCATGAGGACCTAGGTTCAATTCCAGGTTTAGCCCCCATCTTTAAAAAAAAGTAGAAGATAACAAGTTTTGGGGAATCATCTAGCCTGATAACACCTTTAAATAACAGAGCATGTCTAAAATGGTGAAGTAGTCACAAAGATGTGAGAATTCAAACATGACAATCCCAAGTAATACACACCAGTGGCCTCCAACCACTTCTAATTAACCTAAGATTCCACATTATCATTCCCTAAAATAATAAGCCTTCTGTATGAAAGTGCATCTTATAGACACATTAATGGATTTTTCTTCCTAGGAAGAATTATATCCTTTTATTTCCTCTTCCCCTCCCTTTCTTATTTCTAATCTTTTATTCTTTTAAGAAAAAAAACAATTCTGTATGTTTAGCCAGAGGTATGTATACATCAGCTCCCAATAAATACAGAAAAGAATAAGAAGACATACCCTCCTTTTACAATTTTTATTTATTGCATGCTAATTATTTTATGTGTAAGTATACTGAGTGAAGAGGGCATGTATAGACACAGGGCACACGTGGAGGCCAGAGGACAACTTTTGGGAGTTGGTTCTCATCCTCCACTCAGTGAGGCAGGATTTATCTTGATTCTCCAGTGCAGCATACCCTGGCTGGCTGCAGCACAACCTTGGCAGTTGGCTGATTCTCATCTGTCTGTGTGTGCGTCTGTCTGTGTGTGCGTCTGTCTGTCTGTCTGTCTGTCTCTGCCTGCCTGCCTGCCTGCCTGCCTGCCTGCCTGCCTGCCTGCCTGCCTATCTATCTATCTATCTATCTATCTATCTATCTATCTATCTACAGATTACAGATACAGATGCATGCCCCTGCATGAGGTGTTTCATCTGGGGCTTTTTGTGTAGGTTCTGGAGATCAAACTTAGAGCTTCATTATTGCATGGAAAGTGATTTAAATCCCCTACCCATCTCCCTGGCCCCCAAATCCTCTTATTTTCTTTCTTTTTTAAGAAGAAAAACCTTATATTTCTTTTTATCTGTGTGCATCTCTTTATGCCTATTTATGGCTAAATGTGCACCCTGTCATGTGCAGGTATCTGCAAAGGCCAGAAAAGAACACTGATCCCCTATGAGCTGCTCAATGAGTGAGCACTGGGTACTGAACCTGGGTCGTCTTCTGCAAGAGCAAGTGCACTCATTGCTGAGCAATCTCTCTAGCCCTCCAAAAGTCCCCTTTGTCACACAGCTATCTTCCCAGGATGTATTTACCTGCCCCGCATTTTTCTGATTGATGAGTTGATCCCCAGCTATAAGAGAATCCCAATTTTGCTGTCTTATGAGCTCTTTAACTTCTTCGTTAGGAAGATCAATTCGATAGTTGAAGTCACCACACCAAAATACATAGTCATGGGAAAACAGCATCCTTCCCTGGAAACATGAGATGGCATTGGAAGTTCACAACAGTGTTTCAATGTGCTGCACATGACTCTCCTGCTTCAGATGTGCTCGCCTCTGTCAACACTGCTGCTCGAACCAATAGTAATAAGACAAAGTAGACAGGTACTGTTGTTTCTGAGAACTGCATTAAATCTTCAAAACTGGCTGACATAAAATGCAGGGTAAATTAAAATACAATCTAAAGATTTATCTTACAGCATAAACGGCAGAAGCTTACCATGGGAAAACTCAACTTCCGTGCTATTTCTACAAAATCTTCATTTCTCTCTTTGACTTGTGACTGCCCTGCAGCAAAGTGGCTGCAGACAAAGCAGAGGCTGGTGGTGTGGAAGAGCAGGCGAATCGCAACTGCTCCCTTATTTCCAGTCGCGCCCCCCATCCCAGTCTTCACAGTGTCAACCGCAACGTCCCTTTAAAACACAATTACAGACGCAAGAGATGACACTGCACACTCTGGGGCTTTTCTTGTCATTCAGCGAGAAGAGCACAGGAGAGTGTCTGTTACTGACCTGATGAAAGGGGCATGCTGTGGTCTGATGAAAACAAAGAGGCAGACGCCCACCAACTGCTCAGAAGCCAGCAGGACGTACTTGTTGTCTCTGGAGATGGTCTTCTGCAGCTCCACTGCCCATAGCTTCTGGTTTGTTGTGCTGCCAGAGCATTAAAGAGGGAATCTTTAGGAAGGTACCACACTTTACACATCTGATGACTTAGAGAAGAAGATTTCATATAATCTGTGTTCTGTTTCCAATAAAAAGAAAAACCTGCAGCTTAACCAAAACAATACAGAAAAACAGTATCTACTGTACAACTCTCCTCTATGGGGAGAGACGATGGCTCACCAAGTAAAGGTGTCGCTGCCAAGCCTGATGACCAGAATTCCATCCCTATGACCCTGAAGAGGTTACCCTCCGACCTCTGCATGCACACCACTGCACACGTGTGCCCCCCCCCATGATGCTAAAATTAAAAAAAAAAAAACCACCAAAAAGCAGACAGGAAGTGACTTAATAAATGCCGTTAGGTGAGTGACTTGGCCAAGCTTTACACTTGAGTTTCCAGTATTATTTGGCTTATGGAGAAACATATACTTCTACATATCATCTCATTTCTCCCAGCCCCATTTTCCTTATTTTCATGAATTTAAATTTATTTATTTAAAAACTCCTTGTGTATGTGTAAGTATATGTCATCTATGTGTAGGTGTCTGAGGAGGCCAGAGAAAGGACCAGAATCCCTGGAGACAGAGTTACAGGCTGTTGTGAGCCACCCTATGTGGGTGCTGGGAACTGACTAGTCTTCTGCAAGAATAGCGAGAGATCTTAATTGCTAAGTTATCTTCCCAGTCCCCTAAAATTTTATACTTTAAAAAAAAAACTATTTTAAGAAACTTCTTTTAAATAATTTATTATGGAAAACTATTTTAAAAGCCTGGTAACTGTAAAGTAAGCCACCATACACCCAATTATTTAGCTTCAAAATCTCTCTCCCTCCCTCTTCCTTACATGGGGTGTTTTAGACCAAATCTAAGACATACACCATTGCACTCATAATTACTTTTGTATCTTTAACACAAGGGACATTTTTATCTTTCCATAACCACAATACCATCATCTACTTAAATAGTAACACTTCCTTAACATCACCTCACACTCAATTAGTATCCAAACTTCCCTTATTTTCTAAAAACAAAAGTCTTCCTGCCATTATTTGCTTCTTAGAGCAGGCCAAGTATGGCTTCTACATTGCATTACTGGCCTTGCCTCTTCACTTTCTCTTAGTCCTAATGGTTCCTCCACTGTCCTTGTTACATCGCTTCTATAATGGCAACTAAAAAAACAACCAAATCACTTGCCTGTAAAATGTCAGCAGTCTACATGTGGCTGACATGTTCTTGTGACGTCTTTCCTTGTCCCCCTATAGCTCCTTTTTCCTTTCTGCTCACTGGTACAGGAAGTTGATTAAGCAACAAGCTAACTTTATTTGTGTATTTCTTTTGGGAAAAATGGGGCTAATATAATCTACCAAGTTGACCATGGCTTTTCTTCAAGGATTTATCCATATCATCTCATGATGATCATTTTACAGATCTATTACTTCATAAGGAGATACAAAATGCTCACTTTGCAACAGTACAATTAGTACAAAATTTGTACAACAGTACAAAAAGCTTGTTGTAATTAAGCTTCAGAAAGAACTGGCATCAACTATTCAATTAATTATTCTGCAGTGTAGTCATAGAAAAAAGATGGGATAAATCGTTCCTTGTAAGTTTTCAGAGTAGTGAGCTTGAACCTCAAAGTTTTCAGAGTAGTGAGCTTGAACCTCAGAGCCTCCAACTGAGAGGAAAATGTTTCTTTGTTCTCATTATTCCAGGTCATATAAAAATTAAACAGGAATATGAGCTCACATTCATCTATCTTAGGTCCTGTGCCAAACTGTCTCCACATAGAACTCATGGCCACCATAATGCTAACACTGTGGTGCAAGTTCTGGAAGAAAATGACATTTTATGATTTTCTTGAGGTCACTCCTCAAGTCATCTCTACAATGAACCTGACCCTGCTTCAAGTCCCCTCCTCCATAGACCCTTCCCTTCTTGTTAACCACTCTCCATAGCATCTTCCTAACATGTGCTCCATTGACTTATTGAATTTACTGCACTTTCTGTGTCTTCTCAGTAGAAGACAATCTCCATGCAGACCTTCTCATTCATTCAGATGTATCTTTAGCATTTAGAGTAACTGGTTAAACAAATGAAAAAATATCACCACTTTATTAAAGACAAATCTTTAGGAAAGATTTCCTTTAGGAATAATGAATGTATGTAAGGCCTTCCACAATGAACAGTTCACTTTATTCTCTGAATTTTCTATATGAACTGTTTTTGAGATGTTATAAAAATTGTTGCACTTTCTCCACATCCTCTCCAAAATAGATTGTCATTGGTGTTTTTGATTTTAGGCATTCTGGATGGTGTACGATGGTATCTCAGAGTTGTTTTGATTTGCATTTCTCTGATGGCTAATGATGTTGAGCATTTTCTTAAGTGTCTTTCAGCCATTTTAGATTCCTCTATTGCACCCCACTTTTTAACTGGATTATTTGGTGTTTTGGCGACTAGCTTCTTGAGTTCTTTGTATATTTTGGAAATCAGTCCTCTGTGAGATGTGAGATTGGTGAATATCTTTTCCCATTCTGTGGGCTGTCGGTTTGGTCTTGCTGACTGTGTCCTTTGCCTTACAGAAGCTTCTCAGTTTCAGGAGGTCCAATTTATTAATTGTCGATCTCAGTGTCTATGCTACTCGTGTTATGTTCAGGAAGCGGTCTCCTGTACCAATTTGTTCAAAGGTACCCCCCACTTTCTCTTCTAAGAGGTTCACTGTGGCTGGGTTTATGTTGAGGTCTTTGATCCAATTAGACTTAAGTTTTGTGCATGGATCTATCTGCAGTCTTCTACATGCCAGCATCTAGTTATTCCAGCACCATTTGTTGAAGATGCTTTCTTTATTCCATTGTAAAGCTTTGGCTTCTTTGTCAAAAATCAGGTGTTAATAGGTGTGCAGGTTAATATCAGGGTTTTCAATTTGATTCCATTAGTCCACCTGTCTGTTTTTGTACCAATACCAAGCTGTTTTCAGGACTACACCTCTATAATAGAGCTTGAAGTCAGGGATAGAGATTCATCTGGAAGTTCCTTTATTGTACAGGGTTGTTTTGGCTATCCTGGGTTTTTTGTTTGCTGGTGGGAGTGTAAACTTGTGTGGCCACTTTGGAAATCAGTAGGGCAGTTTCTCAGGAAAATGGGAATCAGTGTACCTCAAGACCCAGAAATTCTACTCTTGGGCATATACGCAAAGAATGTACATTCATACAACAAAGCATATGTTCAACTATGTTCATAGCAGCACTATTTGTAATAGCCAGAAACTGGAAGCAACCTAGATGCCCCTCAACTGAAGAATGGATGGAGAAAATGTGGTACATTTACACAATGGAGTACTACTCAGCAGAAAAAAACAATGTAATCTTGAAATTTGCAGGAAAATGGATGGAACTGGAAGAAACCATCATGAGTGAGGTAACCCAATCACAAAAAGACAAGCATGGTATGTACTCACTCATATGTGGATATTAGACATAGAGTAAAGGATTACCAGCCTACAATCCACACCTCCAGAGAAACTCGGAAACAATTAGGACCCTAAGAGAGAAACACATGGTCCCAAAGAAGGGGAAAAGGACAAGAACTGCTGAGCAAACTGGGAGCACAGAGGGGAGAAAGGAGGGAGGTAGGAAAAAAGAGAAGGGGAGAAGGGGAGGGGGGAGGAGAACAAGAGGGATCAGGAAGACTGAGTTAGGGGAGGAGTAGAGGAGAGCAAGAAAAGAGATACCTTAATAGAGGGAGCCAGTATAGGTTTAAAGAGAAATCTGGCACTAGGGAAATTTTCAGAGATCCATAAAGATAACCCCAACTATGAATCTAGGCAGTAACAACGAGGCCGCCTTTGATGCCCTTCCCCTAGAATAAGATTGATGACTACCTTAATTGCCATCCTAGAACCTGCATCCAGTAGCTCATGGAAACAGACACCCACAGCTAAGCACTGAGCCATATGCTGGAATCCAGTTGCAAAGAGGGAAAGCGGACGAGCAAAGCAATCAAGACTGTGCTGGAGAAACCTACAGAACCAACTGACCTAGTGAGAGCACCCAGATCCCAGTTGTAAACCCGGGGAAGCAGCGTTGGACTGAACTAACCCCTCTGAAATGTGAATGCCAGTTAGGAGGCCTGGGCAGGCTAGGGGACCTCTAACAGTGGAACCAGCATTTATCCCTAGTGCACAAATGGACTTTGGGAGTCCATTCCCTATGGAGGGTTACTATTTCAGCACAGATACACAGAGGAGGGCCTAGGCCCTTCCCAAATGATGTAACAGACTTTGATGATTTCCCCCCATGGAAGGCCTCACTATCCTTGGAGAGTGGGTGGGGGTGGGTTGGGGGGTCAGTGAGGGGTATGTGAGGGAGAAGGAACAGGGAGACTGATATGTAAAATAAGACTGTTTCTAAATATATATATATTTAGAATGTATGTATGTATGTATGTATGTATGTATGTATGTATGTATGTCCTGCCACTCAAAAAAAAAAATTGTTTCAAAATAACCTGTAAAGGTATCCAAAGCTTAGTGCTGTCTCCAAGGAAGTAGTGAACACTGCTACCCTCTTAGATGCCACCTTGAAGCCTGGGTTTCGTATGTTCTCAGTTCACGTCTTCAAACATCACATGTGACCACCTCGAGAGCAAGCACCAGACACTCTAGGCTGTGAGTTAACTGCCACCCCTCATAGCACACCATCCTTGAAAGAACTACTCAGTTATTGGGCAGTTATTTCTTCCACTAGTCCTGTTTGTTACAAGGAAACTAACCAACAGTGTTACTTTCTAGTAACAAATGTCAAGACAGGGGTAGCTCACTCAGCACAGTGTTTGTCTAGCATGCAGGAAGCCCTGGGTTCAATCCCCATCAGCAGGTAAAAGTGGGCATTGTGTTTTCACTTGTAATTCAGCCGTTGGGAAGTGGAGGCAAAAATCAAAAACAAAAATGATTAAACTTTGAATTTTCTTCTATATCTGTAAAAAGTTATTTGTTTACATGGGTATTGTGTGTGTGTGTGTGTGTGTGTGTGTATGTGTGTGTGTGTGTAGATAAGACAACTTGAGGAGCTGCTATCTACTTCCACCATGTAGGTTCCAAGGATCAAACTAGGGTTATCAGGCTTGGTGGCTAATAACCTTACCTGTTGAGCTATTTGTTGGCCCCAAATTTATATTTTCAAATAAAAGTTAGAATGTTGTAAAATCTATATTAGCTACTGTTATTTTTGCAGTTTCTCAATATTTAAAGATTTTGATGAAATTAAAATTGATGATTCCAACCAAAACAGTGCATTCACACAGAACAAGAAGTGTCAGAGCTAGAAGACTTAAAGAGGCAGTGAGCTTTCTAATTGAGCAGCACACAGCATGATAAGATTACAGCATAGTAAAAGACCAACAGAGGCTAGTACAATGACAGGCCAAGCAGGTCAATTACCAGTGCTGGAGAGGTGGCTCACAGCTGAGAGCACTGGCTACTCTAGCAAGGTACCTACAGGGTGGTTCCCAACCACTTGTAACTCCAGTTTTACAAGAATCTGATGCCTTCTTCTGACCCTTTGCAGGCAGTGCTTGCATGTGGGACACTTACATACATGCAAACAACACACTCATACACATACAAATAAGCACATCTTTTTAAAAGTTCACAAGGTTTCAGATTGCCAGTTAATCTTTAAGAGGTACTATCACTTGTTGAGTTTTGATGTACTTAAGTCTTTTTTCCAAATATATATATATTTGGTGGTTTTTCTTCATCTAATTCACTCATAACTGTTGGGCCCTTCCCCCATAGGGGTCTGCTGACCAGCTTGTGACTAGGAGCTTACCTAGCAGGTACATCCTGTTTTCTTCCTTCCTTGAAGGCCTGAGTGCAAGTTCCTGTTATCCTGTTATTCACCCATTCAGGATTGCCTGATGGGCCTGGGAACCTGAACTTGTTATCTGGGTAGTTTTCCACTATCCCTGCTGACTGGTATACAAGCCTCCACTCTTGTTGTAATAAAGAGCATTCTCTACCTGCAAGAAAGACCTGCTGTCTTATCTTTATTTAAATCCTCAAGCCCCTCGCCCTATACTGTGGAAGTGTTGTAGTGCAGGCGCTACACATAACACTACAGCACAATATGGAAATACATAAGAATATGTAATAATCCAGTTAACTTGATGCAAACATTAAGCAATTAGCAAAAACCATAAAACAATGCCATGATTCCTGTAAACTTCAGATTTAGAAATGCTAAGGAAGGAAGGAAAAAAAAGACATTTCTGTTAATTGTGATGGGGTCTCTTGTTACTGTTCTCACTTAACAAATTACTAAGTTATTTCTGTGTGTGTGTGTGTGTGTGTGTGTGTGTGTGTGTGTGTGCATGCACAGGCATGCCCGCGTGCTGTGGTACACATGGGGTCACAAGACAACACTAGAGAGCTGGTCTCTCCTCCTCCTTTTTATATTGCTTCCAGGGATCAAACTCAGGCTACCGGATTTGGAGAAAAGCCATCTTGGTTGCTCCTATTATTTTTAAATAAACATCTATAATTTTCAGTCTTAACTTCTAATATAGTATCAGTTTAAGATACTCATACTATTTACATTTAAAAGGTCCTTTCTACATATTTCCTCAATACCAACATTGTAGTGATACCTCATAACCCGTCTTCCAATGCTGTTAGCAAGCTAGCTTACCTTGCATTCACAATGTTTCCAGCATTCAATTCCACCATTTCTTCAAAGCCAATTGCAAATATATCAGTGGGTTTACTTCTTTTATCTATAATTAAGCATCCAAAAATATCTTTAAATATAGCATTGGTTAAATGGCATCCTCACCCAATAAAACAATCTCAGATAACACAAAAATCCTTTTGTGTTTTCAATTTAACCAAGTATGTATTAAAAGTAAAAATTCAGTGAACTACATTACTTTAAATTTACTTTCTACTAAAATACCTTAAGTCTGTTTAAGATTACTTTGAAGATCCTTAAGAACTAAATAAAATCACTTAAAAACAACTTAAGATGTGTACCACTGAAAACAGAAACAGTCACTCTCAGAGGTGGAGTGAGTCAAACCTGCAGTTAAAGGAATTACTCTCAAAACTGACTGAGGACTAGGAAGTATGTAATGGCTGGGTTGTGTTCAAGACTCAAACCCACATCTTCTCATCATGACACAACACGTGGTGAAACAGAGGTCTTGCCCTTTCTTTACAGAGGGGAGGCTGGAGCTTAAGGAACCTAGGTTACTTGCCCAAGTCACACAGATGCTGGAATACAAATGACAGAGCTCAGCTCCTGCCTTTGCCACGCTGGCTGCAGGACCTTTCTCTGTTTTAGGCTTCCTCTATGAAACTTCCTCAATGTAATATATCTACTATGAGAATAAAATATGTGAAAAATACAACTATCCTCATGTTTTTTATTATTATTAATCATTCTATTATTATTTCTATTTCTAACGTGGATTAATCTAACTGAAAAGAGCTCAGTTTTAATAAACTATTTGGGGGAAGTTCCAAAATTATTTTAAAAGGCAAATTGGTATGTCATACAATTTCCTGTACACAGTCCCTTCATATTGGTAATTATATACCATTTTTAAAGGAAGTTTGAGCTGATATCTTAAGTCCCTGATTCTAATAATGTTGGAAGTCTGTTGTGAATAGCATGGTGGCAGAGTACCCACAATAACAACCCAGTACTTTTTTTTTTTTTTGAGACAGGGTTTCTCTGTGGCTTTGGAGCCTGTCCTGGAACTAGCTCTTGTAGACCAGGCTGGTCTTGAACTCACAGAGATCTACCTGTCTCTGCCTCCTGAGTGCTAGGATTAAAGGCGTGTGCCACCAACACCTGGCTCTAGTACTTTTTTTTTTTAAATTTATTTTTTTATGTGCCTGTATGGGTTAATGTGTATGACATCTGTGCAGATTCCCTATGCTGGAAGAGCAGTAATCCTTTTTCTCTCTGACCACCTCTCCAGGCCCTTACAACCAAGTTATTACAATTTCTATAAAACTGCTCATGACCCATCCTGGAAAACAGCATGCTCTAGGCTTGAAAAATAAGACACAAGTGATCAACTACAAAATAATCTTGGCTCTTGTCTATTCAAATGAAAACAGAAGTAGTTTCTCTTGTATGTGTGGCTGCATTCAAAGATGTTTATTTATACGTGGACCCTGATTTTCTGAGCAACAAATGGCAAAAAAAAAAAAAAAAAAAAAAATCAAAATTTTCTATTACTTTTTGCTTTTGTTTGTTTTGTTTTAGGAGTCAGGAGTTTTACTGTGTGATCCAGGCTTGCCTAGAATTTAGAGCAATCCTCCTGACTCAGTCTCTGGAGTACTAGATTATAGATTTAAGCCACCAAACCCAGCTCCATTGTTTTATTACTAAGTAGAAAATGTCTAGAAATAAAAAGCGAGGTGAGACTTTATCAGACTTAACCTAAGATGCTGGCTTCCAAACTAACAAAAGAAGCCCAAGTTTCTTTTCTAAACTGATAAAGTGTCACACTGCAGTCAGGACTTAATTAAATGCTGACATGAGAATCCAACCTTGGAACTCTTGGATGCCAGCTAACTTGGGAGCATCCAGAAGCCAGTCCGTGAGCGTCTGGTTCTTAAAAGCAATGCTGCGGAACTGCTTCCCACCATTCACATTCCAGGTTCCAACACACACTCGAATCTTCTTGGGTTTTGAGTATTTGTAGAAGTTCTCACACATACTCTTTAAGACTTTGGAAGATGCTAGTCAAAAATAAGATGCAAGAGAGCATGAGCTGCAGTAAACCATTTGCAAAAGGCTTTCATTCACAGACGGTATCTGGAAAACACAACTATTGTCACAAGCACAAATAAAGGGCATGCGCAGGCACAAGGAAGAGATCAGCTTTGAATGCCAAGCCCAGCCGGAGGCATTAACCACACTGAATCAATGAAATTCAAAACTATTACAGAATGACTGTAGTAACACAAAGCATGCAGGAGGAACATTTCTGGTTCTATGGTATGCTGATTTATAATACATAAAACCAAAAAGCCATACTGTTTAGGAATACTGCAATTGACAATTTTATTAAGAGTATGGTGAAAATATAAATTTTATTTCTCCCTAAACAAAAACACTTAAAAGCATCTCCATTTAAGATTCAAATTACTGACAGGTGACTTGATGAACAGCGGCTCCTTACACAAATGAGCATTGGGGAAGGAAATGAGACGCTGACATGAAATCACAGCCCAACACGCCCCACCTCACCCAGAAGAGCGTAAGTGTGTATAGAGACCTACTCTAGTCTTTGTGCCCTCGTTTTTGGTCCCTCTGCTCACTCACCACTGAACCAGGCTTTGCTCCTATGACAAAGCTGTCAGACTGCACTTCCCACAGACTGCAACACTCAGCCTTGTCTCCTCCAGTTCTTTACTGTTCAACAAGACTCCTCTGATCCTCTTAGTTAAGACTGCAATATGCCTTTAGGGACCACTGTCCTCCCTGGCTTATTTTCATGTAATCTTTCATATTTTACTAAATAGTATCACTTTACTATGTTATTTCAATATCCCAAACTAGCAGTATTCTGAGCAACTGGGATTGGGAAAGGTAAAACATCATTATCATGAATGCAGTTTTGACTTCTGAGCCCCCTGAAGGAACCAAAGATTTATTTGGATGACAACCATACCCCATTGTTGTGGGATATTTGTACACTGTGTGAAGATATATTGCTGTGATTGGCTTACTGAAGATCTGAATGTACAACAGGTAGGCAGAAGGAGAAAGAGGAGGAGGAATCCAGGCACTTGGGAGAAGCAAGACGCATGGAGGAAACAAGATGGGCAGTGTGGGGACAGGACAAAAAGCCACCAGGGAAAACATGGGTTACTGTGAATGAGTTAATTTAAGTTATAAGAGCTAGTGGAACGAGCATGGACTATGGCTGAGCTTTCATAATTAACAATAAGTCTCTGTGCCATTATTTGGGAGCTGGCTGGCAGGACAGAGAAAGACTCATTACATCCCATTATCTTGAGAGCAGACGTGTACACTTCTAAACCTCTTCCTATCTGATTGCATTATTTATAGAATTGACTGGGAGATAACAAAAGCAGACCATTTATTCTGTCCTGTCAATACAGCTACCACTCTCTATTATTAAGGATATCACTAAACTTTAAACTAAAGGCATTGTCACTATGAAAACACCATTTAAAATCTACTCAGTTCTGTGACTGTGCAACTTAAAAAACAGAACAGAACAGAATAGTAATACCATGTGAACAAAACCAGGCTGCCATCTTGCTTGAATTAATAAGGTCAAATCACTTTATAAATAGAATAAGAAGGTAAAGTATAATCCTAGTTTATTCTTAACATGTTCTGGCACCTTACTGTGCTTAAAGAAGTCAGTCTGCTAGGCCCTCAGATGTCTGTCTCTACACTCCATTTCCTCACAGAAATGATGTTCGCTGCATAACCAGAGCTGTGTGCCTCCCACTTTCCTTTCAAACAACAAGGCAACAGCTTCTAGAGGAGTCACACGCTAACTAGGCAAAACATCCTAGGAAAGGGAAGACAAGATAGTACTTTCAGCTAAATTTCTGGCAAGGTTTTTGCTTTGTCCTGTTTGCTACAGATTCACCTTAAAAGACAAGACCATAACCCACAGAGAATGAAGAGATGAGATCCCTGTGAATACACACGCAAGAGAAAGAGGAGCTGTACTAAGTCCTCCCCATGCACCTGCTCTGACTTGGTGAGCAACACTGACACTGTTCAAAGTGAGCAGCTGTCAGATCTTGTTCCAGTGCAGGTCTGTAGTTAGAGAAAACACGTCACCCACAATGTGAGAATGGATGTGGAGTGGACACCTCTGAATCCATGAAAACAGTACTATTAGACTTCTTCCTGCAGCTGGTGAAGAGCAGGACCTAACAATGATAATGCTCAAGGAAATATAAAGTGAAATTTAATCTAGCTGAATTGTCTTTGATTGGCATATGCCTGTGATGCAGGAAGACAAAGAATCCTGTACATTTCTTCCCTGAATAAAGTACTTAATTTCTGCAAACTTAGAATTTTTATTCAGAGTAAAACAAAACATTAATTTATCCTGTAATATCATGAAGATAAAATTATATCTGTATGTGCACAACATCAGCTTTAGGAAAATAAAGAAAAGGTTGCTTTTATTTATATATTGGTTTTTCTATACTGTACCTGACTGTAATGTCTGTTCAGAAACTATGGATGCATCAAGAAGAAAACAAAGAATCATTAGTAAAACAGTAAGTTACATTTAAAGCCTAGCGTGTCACCTGAAGAACAGCATCCTGAGATGATGGCCTTACTCATTTCTTGTATGTTGACAACTTGAATTTGTTTTTTGAAGCTGTAACACCAAAGACAATAAATAACAATAACTGATACAAACCCATGTGTCTGCACTGAATCAGTGATGTTCACTGCTTCATAATGTGAAGGTCCGCCTCTTCCAGATACTGTGTGTGTGTGTGTGTGTGTGTGTGTGTGTGTGTGTGTGTGTGTGTGTGAAAATCTAAGAGGCTGAAGGACACCAAAGACATGGAAATATATGTCTGAACAGATAACGTTTAGAACTTTTTCGGGACTCACCAGTTGATAAGTACCATCAGTTGAGCTAAAACAAGAAAGTGCATTCTAAAACCATCAACTACACTATATAAAACTGTGCAAAGTCCTGTGGCTATAAAAGCTTATGGGGAAAATGGGGGTGGGGGCATCATACATAAAAATGTCAAAAGTGACACACCAAACAAGAAAGGAACCTAAATTTAAAAGCAGTATAATATTATGTATGCTAATGGTTATGAAATGCATGACTACACAATATAAGGCACTATGCCTTTAAAATATGAAGCTGGCTTGTAGAAATGGGCATCAGATGGACACAGCAATTGTGATGGTAACAGAGGGCTATCAGAAAATGGGTGGGAAGTTGAAACAGCAGATGTGGGCGGGTATGGCTCAACACACATGTTGAACTGCATAAGGGTAGATGTGTAAGGTGTGTGCATATGGCTATGTATGTTTTATACATCTGTTTCCATACTGGTTCTGTTGGGTAGTTTTCTGCATTTGCCTAATGTTGCTTGCCAGCAAAAACACGCATAAGCTCATGCAAAATTAGCATCATGTTCACACCATTACCTAACGTATCAATCCCACTGGAACAAGTTCTCAGTCTCAAACGAGCATGGCAGTAGAGCCGACTACTTTTGAGAGGCATTTTACACATGATGAGGTATGCAGGAACCTAGACACCTGAGGAGTTATTGAGGTTCTTTGTTCCTCCTCTTCCTTCACACTTACTTTCAATTGCTGCTTATTAATGCCTCCACATCAGAGTAGGCACAGGTGGGAAGAGGTGACAAAACAGAAATCAGTCAGTCTCTACTTTTGGAAGCCAGGAAGAAGTCTGAATTTCTAAGACCTAGCAAGCATCAGACTTTATTTATTTTATTTTAATGTTTGAGTAGGTCCCAGCCCCCACACCTGGTTATCTGTTCCTGAGAAGCTGCTTGTAATGAAATCTGACAGGCTACAATGACCTGTAGGGCCAGTTTCAAGAGGATGTTACCAGAATTCCATGGAAATTATAGGACATTTTCTGTGTGGAGAGGATGTATTGGAAGGTTTGGAGCTAACAGGAAAAGAAGCCCACAGTAAGAATGGAACTAGAAATCTCATTGAACTTGTCAATTATACTACAGTAAAGCTGGGGAGGGGCAGGAGGTCTATCCTGTTACCTGTACAAAGAATGTTGAATTTCCTCATAATACTGCTTTAGGTACTCATTAACATGAAAAGTTCAAATTCTTTGACATTAATAACAGATATACAATAAAAAGTAAAAAGCTACCTTGGGGAAAAAGGCTACTTTGAAAGCTATGTATTTGTGTCAAATAGTAAAACAGAAAATAGCAGTTAGTGGTCAATAATAAACACTGCTTTATACTGTTACTATGACTTAAGATGATTCAAACAATAACAACCAAAGTTAAGGCATGGTTACAGAATCATCAACCAATACAGATAAAGGGTGTTCTCAATAAAGCACACCTACATAACTGGTTATGAATGCCTGCTTTATATCGTTAGCACATACAGCCCCCAGTCACAATCTTCACAAGAAAGCACACACAGTGTTCAGAAAAAAACCCAGTCAGTTTGTGGCTAAGTACACTCATAGCATTAACACTTGACAAGAGAAAAACTTAATGGGATAATGCTACTTCAAAAAAACCACTTGTACAGAAATCCCTTCCAAAATGATTTAAACCAACAACAGCCTAAAAACTACTCATGCCAGTAAGTTAAGATTTACTTTTTTGGCCTATAAATAAGTGAAGTAAATAAAGTATTAAGTGTGCATACCACGCAAACTTCCAGTGGTTAGAAGTGCTCGGGCTTTGTCAGCTAAGTCACTGTTGAGAGTATTTCCCAGGAGCAGAACATCAATGGCTTCTTGCTTGGAGCTGTCGAAGAAGTTGTTCTGAATGGTTCTGGTGACAGAGCGGGCACCATCTTTTAACTTCCCAGCCTGTTGTGAGAAAAAGGAGCTTGGGCCCTGCTCGAAATACTGCTGATTTCACTCACTGTACATTTGCAATTTGCAATTCATTTCATAAAGGCCTTAAAATGCAGTGTTCCCTTATAGTCTGCACAAAGAAAATAGTAAACTCAACGCCACAACTCCATCTACTAACATATTGAGTAGTAAATACTTCATCATATATTTATTTGAATTAAGAAGATTCCTTTCTACATCCTAACTTTTCAATGTGGGGATGGGCTGTTTGAGGAAAGGCAGTAGGGACAAAGAATGATACATTGAACTCACAACTCCTAGAAAACCTTCCAAGTACCTTGATAGTATAAAAGTGAAATTGTTCCCCAATAATTTAATGCTAGTTAAAAACTGAACCTAAAATCAAAGGTCTAGTTCAAAATTAATTTGTAATTACAACTCATAAATATAAACATAAATTTTAGTTTCCATACTAAAGACATCTTATGATAAATACCTATTCCAATACTGAGAGGTTTGATTATAACTTTTAATGAGCAGGTATTTCACTTAGGCATATTATCAGACAGTATTTTGATCCTATAGACTTTTGAAGGTCAAAAATAACTTTGGTTTGGAATGTGTAATTTTCTTTCATCCCTTTGAAAAATAACAGTAATTACAGGCTTCTTTTCAGAATAAGGAGCCAATTTTCTTCCATGCCACTAAATGTAATATGGCATTAAATCATTATTTTTGTCATGTAATATATAAAATGATGTTATTGAAAAAAAAAAAAACCACTCACCATTCACATTATCGGGCAATTAATCAAAAGGAGCCGAGAGAAAGGAAAAGAAAGAGCAGTTCAGGTGTTAGATTTTAGCTCAATTCAGACTAGTATATTTAATATTAATATATAAAGATTTCATATCTGTTCCTTAGGCTCCAGAATACTGAAAATATATGCAGCTTCTGTACATATATTGTCTTAGTCACATTCCTTAGGTTACAGAATACTGAAAATATATGCAGCTTCTGTACATATATTGTCTTAGTCACAGCAGAAACAAAAGATAGAAGCACATAAAGCAACTACTGGAGAATCAGATTTTAATAACAAGAATTGTGCTACTTAAAAGGAAAAAATGAAAGTCAGGCAATTTCAGGTTTTCAAAAGAAGCAGTGTTTAGGGAGTGAGGATTTGTAACATTCCTAAGGGATGAGCAAAGGCGCTCTGCAGGTGAGGCAATGCCTGTGGCAGAGGAGGCCGACTGAACATAGTCTTGAGTTGATGAGTAATCTTCATAGACCCCAGCTGAGCGTGCTGTTGCCCATGAGACCACTAAACCTGCTAATGTCTTCTCTTTTTGTTGACTGTTTTGGTGGGTTGTTTTGTTTGTTTTAAACTGGGTTTGTCAGCCCTGGTACTCAATACACGCCTAGACGGAACTTGTTTCAATCCTCCCGTCTCAACCTCTCCAATACTGGGATCTCCATACTGGGATCATTGGTATGAACCATCATGCCTAGCTAAGTGTTCTCACCTTTATCCAGAAATAACTTGAAGAACTGTAGATATTTTGGATAAATTAAGGCCAGAGCCCCTTAAAGAGTTAAACAATACTTAAGTACACAGAATCATAAAACATTCCAAATATAGCCCGAAATCTCACAATAAGGCCCAAGTACCAAACAGGAAAGTAGTCGAGGCTAACACAAGCAACTACACATCCTGATGAGCCTCAGCATCGTAACTGAGTCCACACCCCACCCTTTACTGCAATGGTAGCTCCCTTCTAGGACCGACACAAGCAGAAAGCACACAGTTAACCATCAAGCCCAAGTATTACCGGTTCATTGCACTGCTTACGTAAACTGGTGATAGACTGTCCATCCACCATTTGTGACACACCTCCCAAACAGAGGCACTGTGTCAAGTGCAGGGAACACAAGGGTCAGTGAGACAGGATACTTTATCAGGACTATGGAATTTTTTAAAATCAATATAAACAATGTAAAAAGTAAGAGAGATACATAATATTAAGCCATGTAAACATATATATATATGATGTAGATATACAATGAGTTATCTCCAAAAGCACACTTAACCCTTAGGACTAAAGAATCACCTATGTTGAATTTAATCATTAGAACCCACTACTGTGGGAAGACGTATCAGAGAGGACATGAAAGCATAAGAAAGCAATCCTAAAAAAATGTCTGTTAACTTAAAAACCTATTATTTAAAAAGTCATTTCAAAACTTGCTAGAGAGGAGAGAGATGAAAATTATGCTATGACAGCTACAGCTCTCTCTACCTTGGCCTTCCCTTCAAGGGCTCCAGTGCCTGCATATATCTTACTGATGGAATCGCCATTCACAGACCACATGGACCGGAAAACTTCTTGAAAGCGAGTCACCAGCTGAGGCTTTTCAGCCAAGCCCAGAGCATCCAGCTGTCTAGTTAGCATCTGAAAGGACAAATGAGGATATTTAAGGTAAATATATATTTAAATATGAACTATTTATATTTAAACATATATTCACTATAATGTGACTTTTTACAACTATTAGGAATTAAACAAAATTTATAAATACAGGACTCTGAAAGGGGTAACTCTTTATTGGACTATGTTTACCACCATTTTCATTTTTAAGGTAAAACTTAAAATTTTTGTGTAGTTTTTTTAAGTTATCATTTCAGTAGATTCAAAAGAGAATTTGGAAATTTGGAAACCCAAGAAGTGATGTCCCTCAATGAATCATGTAGCCGTCCCTGTGTCAGACCTGAGAATCTAGCTAATCCACAGTATACAGGAGAGCAGGGAAGTGTGTACGGAGTTCACCTAAGCATATGCACAACCTTCATACTTTGGACTTCGCTCTGGGAACTTGGTAATCAGGGTGAGGTGAGCAAGAGAAGACGGCCAAGGAAAAGCCCCGGCAGCTTTCCCTGGATGGAGTCTACACTGATGGCGTGTAAAAACGAAATGTGGTGAGCCAAGTGCACAATTTCGGGGGCTACCCCAGAAGGCAATAAAAGCACTCCCAAGCTACCGATTGATGGGGAATGTACTTCTGTGTATGTTTATCTTATTGTTAAATAAAGTTCTGTTTGGCCAATGAAACAGCAAGTTAGACAGGATTAGGAGTCAAAGAGGATTCTGGGAAATGTAGTAAAGAAGTGGTGATCCACGCCGGAAGTGACATAGCAAGGAGACTCATATTTGAGCAAGGAGAAACAGGAAGTTCCCCCTTTTCCCCTTTGACTCCTCCAGAAGCAGGATGTGAGCCACCGGCAAGGAGGGACGCCAATAAGGCGTCCGATAAGTCTTATAAAATATAAAGATTTATGATAATTGAGACTGAGCCAATAGATGAGAATCCTAGTCATTGGCCAAGCAGCATTTGAACCTAATACAAGTTTCTGTGTATTCATTTGGGCCTAACTCAGGTGGGCGGATGGCGTAAAGTGCACAGGTGGCAGAGGGGCTTGGGCGGCTTTTGGCAGAAAGATTTATCTTAACAACTGATCTTTGCTCTGTATGAACTCTAGCTTGGACTTCAACAGCATGGAAACAATGTCTGCTCCTCTTACTGACTCCTTCCTATTAATGTTTCCTGCGTATCTGTTAGGTGTAGTAGTATCTGTAATTACAAAATATGGAACTACATAAAAGCTCCTCAGTAGGCTCATTTCATCACTCAGGTGGTTTATGCTAGAGTTCTGTGCTCATTTGGGCATAGAATAGCCCCCAGGGTCTCCTTTCAATCTGAAGAAGTGGGAAAAACAAATTTCACTTCATTATTAGTTTGTCTAACTCTAATTTAGCAACAAATTTTGCAAGTAGTTAATCAAATGTGACAGAGGGCACACTCTCATGTCACACTTCCAATAGTGATAGTCAGCTAAGACAACTGGACACAAGCACTTGATCATTTAAGTCAGAACTTCACTCAGCTTGGTCAGATCCAGCAAACGTGTCCAGTCACTGAAAGCCAGGGCCTGAACCATATGAATTCATCTAACTATGATCTGTCTTCTTTCACATCTCATGTGTCATATTTTAAGAAAAATAAGATAAATATCAATGATAGGTTTCAAAAAAGTCAAAACAGTAAAATTTATTTACTTATATATAATATCTGTGCCCCAGAGAACGTTACACAATTAAGACTGTACCTTGAGACAGAAGCTGAGTTTCTGTAATTAATTAACTAACGCACAAGCTAAATTTAAAATCATTAACTAGAGACTCTTTAGAGTGTTTGAAAACTAAGTCCTACCTAATGCAAAGTGAATCCATGACCTCCTTGTGACCCTGACTTACTGGGCCCAGAGAACGGGAAAGCTTGGTGGTGCTCCAGTTTACTGAATAGCTGAGACTGTGTCCGTACTAGACTGAGCTTGGTGAATAACAGTAAAATAAACCTAATAAATAAACAAGCTTTTAAAGACCTTAAAGGAAACCCTGGTCATTTTTTACTTTGGCTAGCTATGGCATTTTCATCTGATTCCTAATTAATTAGATTTCAAAGCTACTGACTTCATAATGCCCACTTGGATTGAGTTACAAACTATCAAAAAAATATAACCCTATAGGAAGGACTGTACATGTAAAAACAGATTCTAAATATCCTAAAATAAAATCTTGAAAATGTCAACATAAAGTTCAAATCCATGCATACTGTTTCAAGAGAAAAGGCCAAAACAGCAATGGTCACTCCAATACACATGCAGGTGTGTACAAGGAGTGTAAGAAACAGAGGAAACAGGTGGCAGTTATCAGAACATATGAGGAATGAGGAAGGGAACAGGTAAATCACAAGGGCTTTGAGACAGGGAAAGGCAAGAAGTGAAAAAAAAAAGTCTCTAGCAAGGCCCAGCTTCCCTACTTTATGTGACTAAGAAACAGGTTTACGAACCTGCCCAGGATACATACGGCACAGACATAACTGTTTTACCTCTAAGCCAAGGAATGCCTGCACACTGTTTGTTCTATCAAGACAATCCAAGCAGTTTGTTCGAACTGTACCACTCTGGCACCTGCAACAATTTCAATAAAGTTACATGGCTAGTTTACAATACAAATAAAGCATAAATGAACTAACAGCAACAGAGATGATTAAAATTCAGTACCTTTCTAATTCCAGCTTTATACCATCACCATATTCAGGCACAAAATAATAATGAAATATTAACCTGATAGCACCTATACACACACACCCCTAGATTTTACATCTGCTCATGTTTCGCCATGCATTTTTATCACGTATCTACCACACATTTATTTTTATTAGGCCTGTAGTTAGAAGCTAAATATACATTCAGATTTATAATCCTATAGTTCTTTCCACAAAACAGTAAGAATTTGGGGAATGATTGTTTATAAAAACAACAATAACAAGATCTTTCTCTTGACTGCTCCATAAGCCACTATGACATAAAAAATATAATCTGAAAAAAGTCAGTGACTTTGAACTTTGATCATAAGTTAACTTCAATTTATAATCTGAACTTAAACCTTTTAATTTACTTTATTTCTTGTCCATAAGCAAAAACTAAGGGTTTACGTTACACCAATGCAGGCAATAAGCAAAGGTTCCTTTTCTTTGCATGCCCTGGTCTTTACTAGGGTAAGAACTGCTAAAACTTCAGCTTTACTGACAGCATGAAGTCTAGAAGCCAGGTGACCAGCAGCTCTAGTGTTTCCAAATATGTGAGCTGGAGTAAGCCCATGCCTCATTTTCCTCAGCTGCAAAAGGCGGTCATAGATCCTATCCCCGACAGTTACTGATGCAAAGGCACATACGGTGCTATCCCACAGTATGTTCTAGACAATGTAACTGATTATTACTTGTTGAAATCTAGGAAAAAAAAAAAAAGCTTAACAAACTATTAAAAATACTTAAAATTGTAAATTTCAATATAAAAAGAAAAATTTAAAGTTTAATGTTAAGAATGATTTTTAAGTTACAGCAAAGTTCCAATTTAAAGAAAAGAGCAATAAAACCATCAAACCTTTTAACTTCACTGCCATCAAAATAAAAAAATCCATAATCTAGATATTTCTGGACTTGAGGTTTGAGAACACTGTGTAATTTTTCTGCTTTCCCTCCTTTAACCATTTGATGATAGTCAAAAGACACCATGTGGATATCAGCAGCGTGTTCAGAGGCTTTCAGATGACCCTGAAAGTGAAAGAGCAAATGCTCATGTAAGTGTCAGCTAAATGCCATCTCTACAGCACCCCAGATGCCCATCGCTATAGCACCCCATATGTGCACTTGTATTCCAGGCCGCAATGGCGTTATTTGAAATTTACTAATCCCCCAAAAGCACTCACCAACATTGGAAGCAAAAGGGACAATTACTTTTTGATACATAATGGCATTTATTGTCTAAAACCCTATATACTATCGCTGAGAGACTGAGTAGCATAATTAATTCAGGGAACCTAATTAATATTTTAGTTTGGTTTAGAAAATGTAATAGTTTCCAATCATCAGTGTTTTATTGTTAGGATACAAATTTAGTAAATACTTTTACCTATTATAGAATCTAAAATAAAGCAGCTTAATTTGTAACACAGTCTAGTCAGAGATTAAAAGACTCATCTTTTATGCCTTCATTCAATGCATATGTATATTTCTAAATTTACCATTAAAATATGACTCTCAAAAGCACAATATTTAGTTAACAATAATCTTCTCCCAATCTTAAAAAATAGCTAATGAGTTTATTTTCCCATTTAACCAGACTTCCTAATTTAAACCTTAGAAAATGGTTTCTAGTTCTTCTGCATCTTATATAACATAATTTACAGTGATCCATCATTGATTAAGCATTTTGCTCATGCTATTTTCTAATAGCCTCGGAGAGTTGAAGGCATCAGTGTATCTAACTTTTGTCTAGAGTGCTTTTCTTGCTGGGAGTCTGCTTACTTTGTTTTTATTTCCGTTCTAGGTGAGCATGGGCCAGAACAGAAGCAAAGATGGCTGCACTCACCTGGAAAGCCTTACTTAGCATGTGTTCGCCTTCCTTAGATCCAAGCAGGTTTACTACTATCTGTTTACCATATAAATCCTTAAGTGTCCGGAAATGCCTATCGACAAAAGACAAGAAACAGCACAGTAAAATTATAGCCTTTCCTCCAACAAACAAATACAATTTACTAAATTGGAAAAAATGTATTCTACATGTCCTCAAGCCCCTGAATTTGTAAAATTCAGTAAGTACAATTTCTTCTCTGACATATGGATGCCAAGACTTTCACCTTGGCTACAGCCCTGGAGCTGGCCAGCCTCCAGCTTACTTTCCATTGTGAAGCTGACAACAGTCGTGGCAGGACTCAGCCACCAGGCCCTTCTGATGGCACAGACATCAGGAGTATTCAATAGGGCTGCCTGACGAGCTCTAGCCTTGGAAGGCTCCCTTTCTATGTGCCTCTGCTTCCCACAGCTTCTGTCACCTTGAGCTAAATCAGGATCCAAAAATGCTAACATCTGTACTTAATCTTTCCAGATAGAGTGACATACATCGTGCACTCATTTTAGTACAGTATACTGTTATAATTCTCTTTAGGTTTTACTTATTGACAATTTCATAAGTACGACACAGTATGATTCGTTCTTCTTAACCTCTCACATTGTGTCTAATCTATAAATTAAACTTTAACATATTTATGTATGTTCAAGCAACACTTAAGTGTAAGGTGGTGTGGTATGGCACATCTGTGTATCCATGAGAATAAAAGGCACTACTGAAAAAAAAAAAAGCAATTAAAAAACAAAGAAAGACAGGCAGTGGTGGTATGCGCCTTTAATCCCACCACTTGAAAGGCAGAGACAGGCAGATCTCTGTGAGTTCCAGGCCAGCCTGGTCTACGAAGTGAGTTCCAGGACAGGCAGGCTCAAAAGCTACAGAAAAACCCCATCTCAGGAAAAAATAAAGAAAAGAAAAGAAAAGATAATAAAAGTTCTGCTATATACAGCAACACCACACAAAACAAATATAATATGAGCCTCATTATAGTACCACACAAATATCAGTTCTACCTGTCAAAAGCAGGTGCATTTGCTTCAAATCCCCTCGACATCCGGACACGATGGGATCCCACCTTAGGCAAGAAAAAGATTTAATCACTACTTGAACCACTATCAGGACAAAAGAAACATCACCACTGCAATCCAAGTGATTCATCTAGTGAGCACAGTAACAAAAGGCCTGGGCTTCACTCCTGATAATTTGTTTAGACTTCTAGGGGTCCCCCACTCTTACTTTTAAGTGAAACTCATGTAAAAAGAACAATGGCCAGGCGTGCTGACACACACTTAACACCAACACTCTACTGACTGAAAAGCAAAAGAAACTTAAATTTAAAAAGTAGTATCAGAGCTTGGCTATTCTTTGTTGTGTGAACCATTGAAATTTATCATATTAGCAGAGAAGGTTTTTCTAAGTTTTGTAACTTATAAGGCCTAATAAAGACAGAAAGAAAAAATACATAAACTGAAACAGCCAACATGCAAAATTCCTTTTATTTCCATGACATAAAAGGAAACTGGGCATAGTGGTACCAGGGGGACAACATAACACATGCCACACAGTCCATGTGTGGAGGTCAGAGGACAACTGTGAAATTGGTTTCCTCTTTCTATCACTATGTGGGTTCGGGGCTTGGACTTCAGGCCTTCAGGCTTGTACAGCAAGCATCTTTATCTGCTGAGCCATCTTGCTGGTCCAATGTATCATTACATGTTTTATGTGTACATGTGAGCGACAGCATGCTTGTATGTGCAACATGTGCATGAGGTCACAAGTGAGCATCACACCCGGGAAATTGGAGTTAGAGACAGAAACACCATGGGGGTGGATGCTGGGCACCCGACCAGGATCCTCTACAGTAGGAAGTGATCTTAACTTGCAGACATTCTCACCAGCCCAAGAGTCTGGCTTCTGAAACGAAGGGCATCCTTATCAAGGTAAACACAAGCTGACTGCTGGCGTTCTTCGGGAAGAGCTCTGTGATAAGCATTTGATAGACACCACAAATTGTGCAGGTAATTTATCAAATCAAACGGAGTACTTTTTTCAAACGCTAAAATTTGTATATGTATTTTAGGTCCTTAGAGTTCATAGCTCTATTTATGATTTGGTAGCTAAGTTAATCATGTATGAAACAAACTAGAAAAAAATATATTGAAAAAGAATGATTTTTACAAAGGAATTCTTAAATGTTTCCTATTTCTCAGATGTCAATATACTCTTAGTGCACAGTTAAGGAATGTTTAAAAGACCAGTGCCATGACTGCAGTATCACATCTACTGTAACCAACAAAAGGAAAAGGAAAAAAAACAAGCTACATCCACTAAGAAATACTCACTAATAACAATTTTTGAGTGCTTTCAAACATACTGTTTGCCTTATTTCAAACAAAAATATATTCTGCTTAAGTTCATAGATAGGCAACTAATTTTAAAAAAAAGGTTTAGATGAGATATTTGTATTTCCTGACCAAAATGTCTACTTTTCCAAGCAGCCCTACACTACAATTCTCACGTCTTTTTTCTCTATTATGGTAAAGACTGCAAAGGCATTAAAAGCCAAACCAAACCAAAGTAAATCCTTCCTTCCTAGACAGTGCTTAAGAGCCCTGCTGCTCTTCCATAGGACCTGTGCTCAGCTGCTAGTACCCATGTTGGCAGCTCCCAAGTGCCTGAAGTTGCAGTCTCAGAGAGGGGCTCTGGGTTCAAATGATGTGCAAACAAAGCCAGTCCTTCCTACAGACAAATTCCAGGCTGACCTCGATACCAAATGACCATAGTAACAGCACACTTTGCAGAATTAAAAATGTTGTGCTAGGGGAAAAAACAGATGGGGCTATCTACCTAACATGGGCTATATTTATTTTTTTCAGACAGGCAAGAGGGGGACTGGAAAGAACTAACATGATAGACATGTGCTTGTAAACATTTCTCTGAGGCTAGAACTCTTTCCTGCTAATACATGAACAAAATGATCTGTTAAAAAGAGACAAGGAAGAGAGCTGCCTTATCATTATATAGTCTGACAAGGAAACAAGACAAACCGAAAATAAATTCTGCTATGCTTGTTCAATTCATTGTTCAATTAGCACTGTAAACCCAGTGTGCAGGAGATAAAGACAAGAACACTGTAAGCTCCAGACCAAGCTCTAGACAGCAACAAACAAACTGGGTCCCTAAAATAAATTTTAGTCCTGAGAATACATAAAACATGTAACAACCATTCACAACACTCCTAGAGCAAGAGTCCTAGTTTGGTTCCACAGAATAGTTAATCCTTGACATGGTTTTTCATTTTTGAAAATCAATGATCTATTTTTATACTTTCTTAAAAATAAATCAAATATTTTCATTCCTGTATTACCACTGTTTTAGAACAATGGAGGAAATGTTAGTACAAAATATAGTCACAAAAAGAATCCATTCTTACTGGGCAGTGGTGGCACACACCTTTAATCTCATCACTTAGGAGGCAGAGGCTGGTGGAGCTCTGTGAGTTGTAGCCAGTCTGGTCTACAGAGGGAGTTCCAGAACAGCCAGAGAAAGGAAGGAAGGAAAGAAGGGAGGAAAGGAGGGAGGGAAAGGAGGAGGAAGGGAGAGGGGAAGAGAGAGAGAGAAAGAGAGAGAGAGAGAGAGAGAGAGAGAGAGAGAGAGAGAGAGAATCCATTCTCAGGAGGCTGAGGTAGGCTAACAGATTTGGTGGTCTTCTTAGACTGTCTCAGTGACTCTAAATGTCCTATTTCTATGAAGAAACGAGAATAGCTTACAACACCAGAGTTTTCAGCACATAGCTAGAGAACATTAGCCAGTCAGATTCCCTGTGAGGTGAGGACACACAGAAATGGAAGAAGGAAGTCCAATCCAAGTCATCAGACACTGGGATTCTGAACTTTATGGTAAAGTGGCACAGAACCAGTACAACTCAGGGCCAATAAAACTGGAACCTCTTTAGTCCGTCCCCACACAGAAGCTTCACCTTGCATCAGGTTGGGGCTTCAGGGCTGTTCTCTGCTTTTAAAAAAAAATTTTATGTGCATTGGTATTTTGCCTGCATGTGTGTCTGTGTGAGGGTGTTGGATTACGGGAAATGGAGTTACAGTTGTGAGCTGCCATGTGGGTGCTGGAATTAAACCCAGGCACTCTGCAAGAACCACCAGTGCTCTTAGCCATTAGGCCATCTCACCAGCCCCTTCACGGCTGTTATTAAAGCAAGTACTCTGACTCCCCAGCAAAGACCACAAAAGCTTAAGAAAGTGAGGGTGGGTCAGGTTTTTCTCAGAGTCAAGCTGCCCTGTGCCTAAAACAGAAAGTCTCAAACAAAACAAAACAAACAAAATCTCCACCTAGCTGGGCGTGGTAGCTTACACCTTTAAAACCAGCACTCAGGAGGCTGAGGTAGATGGATCGCTATGAGTTCCAGGCCAGCTTAGACTATATGCAGAGATCCAGGCCAGCCAGAACTACAGTAACTCAGAAACAAACAAAAAACACCACCCTCCAAAAAGAGCCCACACCAGTCTAACCAGTCTTGACAAGAACTAAGAATTTTAGAAGCACAAGTACTCATCCTCTTGTTAGTCTCTGACCTACCTTAAATAGACCACAACACTGAAAAATTTCAGAGGCCCCCAATTTCTCTCCACAGTGACCCCTCTTTAAAATGCAAGAAAGATCTAGCAGCAAAAGGGCAAGCAAGACTTCTTTTTCTGTACACTTCTTTTTCACAACACTGAGACATACTCTCCCAGATTACCCACACTAGAGACCTACAAAATGGCACTTTAGGGCCCAAGCACTTTTCATCACAATTAATCTAAGATTATACTTCTGGAAATAATTTAGTATCATAATTTCATATTTTTAAAACATTTTGTAAAGATGAGGCAATTACATTTTTATAAATGAAATTAGAAATTATCAGGAATATCCTCAAGATGATAGGATATCACAGATTACAAAGCCAGAGTGCCACTAAAACCAGGAATGGCTGACTCTGCTGTACTGCTGTGTGCCAGGCACTGTTTTAAGTGGTTTTCATTTAGTACTCCTAACAACCTCTTGAGGGAGACACTATTATCATCATTCTCATTTTACAGATGAGGAGAATGAGAGAAAAAAAGGAATTCAATCACTTGTCAAGATCATCTATCACGTAATGGTAGAATAAGGGTGTAAACAGAGTCTGGGAACAGGGATTTTTATTTATTTATTTATTTATTTATTTATTTATTTATTTATTTTTAAGCTATCAAATCATTCTGCTTAAAGAAACTAAGTCATTTTACACTAAAATGATGAGATCACTTTTTTTTTCCTTTTAAATCCTTGAAATCTGACAATTAGACAGGCTCTTGAGTTGCTGCAGCTGTGCTACACACTTTGAACTTGGTCTGTCCATTAAGCCTTCATGCTCTGGCAGTTTGGTACCCAGGGTGACAGTGTCAGTGATGGTGTGGAACTGTGAAGAAGGGCGGCCTTGTAGGAGTCTTTACAGTACCGGGAGAGACAACCTGAGGAAGGAATGCTGGCTTCCTGTTGAGCACTCTTAGGAAAGCCAAGTAGTTATGGAAGCCCGAGCTGAATATATCTCACTCTTTATTTGGCTTCTATGCTCTCTTCCTTCCATATAAACCCCCACACTAATGTCATCAAGTGTCACACTGCTACACCAGTTGCCAAACCCATGGGCCTGTCCAATCTTGATTTCCAATCTCTAAAATTATGAACCAAAATAAAACTTTTTTTATATAAAATTAGGATAACTACAGTTAATCACTGTAGTAATATAAAAGCAACAGAATCAAAAGGGAAGCTGTCTAAGACAAGACATTCCTCAGGGTCTAGTATTACACACAACAGAACGATCAATAAAACTGAAGAACTATGTTGAAAATTCGGACAATATGGAAATTTTCAAAGAGGAAAAAACCAAACAAACAAACTGGATGCCAGGTACATACTTGCAACCCTGGTTGCTCCCAGAACAATGGAACAGATCCACGGATTTGTATGAAGGAAGAAACACAGTCATCTAAGTATATAACCTACAAAAAAGAAAGAATTCCAAAGGGAAAAAGCCTGTTAGTTCTATATCAGAAAAGCAGCTAATGAGAGCTGCTGCACAAACTGTGATGACTGCTCATATGCAGACTGTCCTGATTCAAGTCATCAAAAACAGGATGCTAGGTTTTTCCAGTTAATGATAATACCAACCAAGAAAGCAATTTCCTTTAATTTGTTCCTTAGCTTTTTATATTTTCTAAAACATAATTTGAAGAGTTGAGTTGGGCTGTGTTACAGCCTGAAATTTTATAATTATGTAGTTCCACAGCCAAATGTTATAACTTTAAAATTTTAGATAGTACATATCCATCATATCTTGTTCTATAATTGAAGATTTTAAAATTCATTGTCAAATGTATAGCACTGACTATATCACATTACTTAATTAGTATTATATAACTATTCGTTCTAGGGATGCCTTTCTTCAGGCCAATAAATAGCCACAAATATCAACATTATACATGCCAAAATATATTTGCATCCAGGTAAAACTATCACTTAGTATTTCCTGTCTTCCTCTCACAAGTCTGTTACTCCAGTATTTCCTGTCTCCCTCTCACTGGTCTGTTAACTCTCGTTATTTCCTGTCTCTGTCTTACAACATATGGTAACAAATATAAAACACTCTGTACCTGCTCCGTTTCTACAAAGTTGGCAACGTGACCGTCATCATTTGTTCCTCGGACATTAAACCTTGTCCCTGCTCGCTCACAGCTTAGTCTTGAGATGAGGCAAGCCTTTGCTTGTTTATGGGCAGCATAAATTGTTCTGATTTCTACACCTCCACACATGAGCCGTAATAACCAGTCATCACAATTCACACCATAGTGCTTAAGATGCAAGTGCAAAGACTGATTCCTAAAGGGAAAAGAAGCACAAAACATTTTAAAACATGAATGCAATATTATTAAAAGGCTCCCCAAGTATTGCATTTTATTTACATTTGCTATGTTAAAGACAAGGCTATAAAATGAAATGCAGATTCTTAATCAGATGACCTATTGTACTAAAAACTTGTGATTTTAGTATTTATAAAACATTTCTAGTCTACCTTCATAACTTGTTCTAGAAGGGGTTATACAAATACAGCCTACTTATGTAAGGCTATATTTTAATTAAGTTTAAAGAGCCAGCATAGCTAGTAGCTATGTACCACACAATGTAAGGCATAGTGCTTTCTATGTCTCCAAATTTTTTTTCCAGTTTTGGTTATGGAATCCAGGGCCTCACTCATTCTAGGTAAGTGCTCTATCACTAAGTACACCCATGGGCCCACCTAATTACTGTAGTACTGTAGGCATTTGATAAGGCCTGGGTTACAAACTTGAAGGGAAAAATATTGCATTCAAGCAAACACACAGACCAATGATGAAGAAACAAAAGATAAAGATATTTAGAGTCGTAATGACCAAATCGTGGGCAGGGGAGTGCACCCTACCAACTTAAGTCTCCTCACCCTGCTGACTGCTCTTCAGGGGTCTCTACTGGAACCTTAGTCTTCCTCAGAACACGTGGAAGATTCTGTGGAATCTTCTAGTAAACCTACTGAAAAAACATGCCATTTGGCAAATGACTCCATCAATTCAAAAGTTACTTTTCCATATTAGTATTGTTTAAGACTTTGACCATTCCCAATGGACTTCAAGTGTTCTACACTACTCTAGTATCTTAACAAAAACGTAATAGAGATGTAATAGTGCCCCCTTGGACACTATTGACCACTTAATGACCCAGGGTCATTAAAAACAGTAACAAGGAGCAAAGCTATTAAGAGCATGAGTCCTCAACTCTCTGCCCTTCAGGTAACAGGCTGCCACAGAGACCCACTGGGTAGTGGCCTTGCAGTTCCTGCAGACCACCTACCATCCTAACCCTGCTTATCTAATTACAAAGCAAATGCAGAGACAACTGGGGTGAGGTGAGACACAACAGCCACCACTCACTCAGCTGGTACCATGACCCATGTTCTCAATCTTTACTATTATTTACTCTGGTCTGGCAAACCCCAACAGATTACCACACAGTGTGTCCAAATATCACCACAGAGGGCCATGTCATGGAGCAGACAAGTGATATATTGGTCCTCATTTAAATGGAGCTTGGATATGAGGCATTTTGTGCAGCAGGTAGAGCTCTTTGTCCTTTATTGTAGATGCATTGCTGTTTTATTCTATTTACATTTATGCCAAGTCTTGAGTAGTAGCAGTACTACTTAAAAATCTCCAATGGAATAAAACTATAATTTTTGTGAGAGTTATTTGGCAGTCTGGCTACAAAGCTTACTATACCTTAAAAAAAAAAAAAAAAAAAAAAAAAAAAAAAAAAAAAAGCTACAAGGATGTGAATTCTAAAAACTTCCATTTTTCTAAGTAAAATTAAACTCAAGTATTTCAATCTTTAGCAAGACACAAGTTCAACCTAGCAACCATTGGACAAACCCCCTCAGGCTGTGACCTAAACATGTCCTGATCTCCACCTTTAATTAAAAAAAAAAAAGAAAAAGAAGAAAGAAAGAAAAAGAAAGGATTAGTCCTACTAATTAAAACTTTGCAAACACAATGGTCTCTTCTTGGATATCTAATGTGTTGGGCACGTTTTTTCTCTGTCCGTCTACTACTGCCATGCTCTGTTGTGGGCTCTGGGCAGGAAGAAAGTGCCCACCCAATCAATCATGTCCATCCTTTGCTTTCTCCAAAGCCAGCCACTGTCTCCAGTCTCTGTGCTATGACCCAGTGCGTAATCACCACGGAAGGAGGAGAGCACGGACTCACCAGAAGAACCTGTTGTCGGTCGAGTGCTCTTGCATGCTGCGGTGTGCATTCAGACTCAGATCCAAGCTGACTCCAGAGGCAGACCATGCAAAATAGAAGTTGCCTGAGTTCAGAACCTTTCGGACTTCTGAAATGCGATCCTCATCGGAAGCATCAACTCGGAGTGATATAAACTCAGTGGAAGTAACTCGGAAAACTTCAGATTCTTGAATTTTCCCAACAGACATACATCCGGTGACTAGGACCAGATAATGCAACATGGTATCCCCTGTGAAAAACAAACATTTTATCAGACAGAACACAGACATTTTCAAGCCGATAGTTTCTTCTGACTTCTTCCTGTGGTTCCATCTTTAAAATCTTACATTGTAAGTTTTTGTTTTTTTTCTTTTGTTTTTGATTTTTTTGAGATAGTCTTACTACATAGGCTGCATAAACTGGCCTGGAAATCCCAGTCCTTGGGCCTCAGCCTACCAAATGCAGGGATTATAGATGTGTACCACCATGCCTGATCATTGTGGTTATCCTAAACATGTAAATGCACCCTGTATGTGAAGGACTACAACATTAATAAGATAGTGTCACATTTACAAAGTTATTTCCATACAATCTGAGGCTACAAAACTCACCACAACCTTTCCATGGACAGGAAGCTGGGATAAGATAATGAATGCCCAGTGTCTTTGTAAAGGTACAGTTTTAAAATGGCATGTAAGTCTGAGAGCTGACGATGGCAGCACATGGGAACAAGGCCTTATCGACAATTTAGAAAGCAATCTGGCTCATGACAACTTTCACAGACTTCCTGGGGCTGTCCTTCTTTCTTTTTTTTTACAGCAAACGGGATGGTACAGGGTCCTAGCTCCTCAACAACAGGATTTTTTTTAAAAAAATTTCATGTAATTACAACAAAACTCTATGATATTAGAATCCATAGCACAGGCAGTGACACAAGCAGAAACAGCTCTGAATCAGGGATGCTTACTATTACCCAGATGACAGAGTATGTTTTAGCATGACCAACATATAACATAATCACTTATGAAAGGAGACTAAAACATTTATCTCATGATTACTTTAGACAATGATAATAAACAATCCCTCACAATGACAAATCTCCATTTTATAGGCCAGTGCTGCTCAACAGCAGAATCCGTCAGCTCTTGGCAGCATACAATAAGAAAACTGCCTGAATTACAATAACTATATAATAATTATAATAAAAATCTACTATGTAACCAAATCCACTCTCTAGTTTACGTTCTTTTCTTTTAGTTTCATAGTTAGACTTCATCAAGGAAGAAAACCATGTGCTGTATGTGTACAATAAGCTCGTAAGCTTACTTTCTCAGACCAGTAAAAGCATGGCCCAGGTCCAGTCTCTGCACCACACCTCAAGGCATACCTTTATAGACAAACTGCTCATCATAACAGTTATCCTGAAGATCATGGTTAAAATCAAATCAGGGCGGGAGAAATGGTTCAGTGGTTAAGAGCATGGCTCTTCCAGAGGACCTGAGTTCGATTCCCAGCGCCCACATGGTGTGTCTTACAGCCAACTGTCTGAACCCCAGGCCTAGGGGATCTGCTACCCCCTGTTCTTGACTTAGTAGGCTTAACAATGAGCATTGTTCATAGGCATACATGACATCAACACTCACACACATAAAAACAATGATTTTAAGTTACAAAAGAACATTAAATAGCAGACATTTCTACATCTAACAAACAGGCCTTTTCCACAACATACTAGGAGAAATCAGTGTGTTTCCCACACAGACACCTATTCCTTAATGTGCTAAAAGAAGAAAAAACACACTGCTCTATTAATGTGTTTAAATAGCATATCATCCTTTGATCTGTTGTATGTCTTTCTAGGAAAGAAACATGTAAGATTAGCCTAATTATTTCTATTGTATGTATAGGAGTTTTCCCTGTATGTACCTATGTGCACCACATGTAACCCTGGAGTTATATATGGTTGTGAGCTACCATGTGGGTACTGGGAACCAAACCTGGGTACTCTGGAAGAGCAACAAGTGCTCTTAACCACTGAGTCGGCACAGTCCATTCTCTTTAATGGTGTGATCTTGGGTATACTGACCATACTCCAGGGCAGATCCCAAATCCAAGAGTAGTTAACCAACACAAACTGGACTTCCTAAGTTTGAGAGAGGGAGGGGGAGGGCCAACGTGGGGGAAGGAGGGACACAGAGACAAACAAACAGAAAGTTGGTTGGGTAGGGATGTGGGGATAGATTTGGAAGGAGTTGGGGGGCTGAATATGATCACAATACATTGCCTGAAATTCTCATAGTTAATAAAAATACTAAAAGATTAGCTTAATTAGTGTTTAAAAGGTGTATAAAACTCAAAGCCCAGATACTGAGTCTGAAATAATACATAGGTAGTCTCTGAAATCTTCAGAATTATAAAAAAGAAACAAAAAGTAGATGAGCCACACTAAATAACACTTACCAAGATTTAATCTTAAAACTCCCAGAAGTCCATACGCATCCAGTACTTTGGTATATGTACCTTTAATTGCCTCCTTTTCTGCAGATGCTGTTAAAAATAATAATTCAAAACATCAGAACCTTTTTAGTTATAAAGCCAGAATTTGAAACAAAAATCCCCAAATATGATATTCTTTATTTTTTTTCTCTTTTCTCTCTTTTTTAAGACCAGTATTATTTGGCTTTCCGCTGTGTACCTGAGCTATCTAATCTCAAGTTCTTGGTCACCCAAGCAGTGTCGGGTCTGGATTACATCTTGTGGAATGGACCTTAAGTCAAATCAGTAATTGGTTGATCGCTCCCACAAGCTTTGTGCCACCATTACTGTAGCATCTCTTGCAGCCAGACACTATTGTGGCTGGCTTGGTGTTTACATTACTCTTTTGATAATGTGCAGAGAGTATCTTTCCGTTTTTGAAGATCTGGAACATAGGAATGAAGGCTCTATGTAGGCACCAGCTCAACATCTCCATGTTCAACATGGGTGTTGACTTCAGCAAAGGAGGCTTAACACCAGCATATTACATTAGGTATTTTCTCCAACCAGTAATACAGCGTTCTTGCTGGAGTTACATAAGTCCAACCATCTAATTAATCCATTTTTTCTCCTTATGATCTGTCTTATTCACCCTCTTATCGTTAACACTTAAGAGCAGTACCTGAAAACAGAAACTGAATAAACAGTTTATTTTATTCAGCACTGTCCAACCACAAAGTTTAGCACAGCAGTGGGCAGTCTTTACTGACCCTTGCCTTACTTCCTATGATGGAAGCTGGTGTTATCTTATTAATACGTACAATTCAGACAGTAATTTCCATAGAGCAGGCTACTATAGTAGGTCTATTGAAAGAAAAATGAACAACAACAAAAATATCCCCAGAGTTTAAAGGAAAAACCTTCTAAGCACTTAGCAGATATACACTTAAAATGTATCAAAGAGCAAACCACATCTAGTATTTCAAAAAAATTCAAAATAACACATTCTAAAGTGTGCAATTCATAAAGGAATCCACCCAGGTTCCTGGCCCACCCACTGCCCTTCTTCTCTGGCTCCCACCTCTCACCAGCTGGCTCCCTGGCTTGCTAGGTCACACTGTTGACTGTCATTGTTACACTCACCTTCTCCCTTGCTGTCCACACGACAGAAGGAGGACCTTTGGCAGGGCTCATGTGCTGCTCTAGGAAAGCAAGCAAGCAGATGGCTCCGACCTCCCCAGATCCTGTCCATCTCCACGGCTGACACCTAGCTCTTCGCAGCCTACCTGTAGCTAACATTCCTTGCCACTTGGACTACACCCTCTTCTTGTACTTAAAGCTCTTCCCCAGGGCTCCACAGTATCTCACCTCCCTGTCTGCTTCTCTTCAGACTATCCACTCAAGCTTCTTTCTTGTCACCTCACTTTTCCCACTGTGCTCAGCTAGCTGTCAGCACAGGCTAAGACTAAATGATGAATAAATATCATTGCATTGTCTACTATGTTCATTCTCTAACCAATATGAAACTGGAAAGGGGAAGAACTTTAGCATGCCACTAAAATAATAGGCAGTTGTGTCTTACTCCATATTCCTAGAGGTTCTAGCATTATATTGCTCCATGTGCTTACAGAAGTTACAGCTAACTTCTTCGAATGTCCAATACAAAGAATTTTTACAACATAAATTGAATTCTGTTTTCTAAAGGAAACCAGATTTGCCTTCCTTAAATACTATACTTCCTCATTCAGGGTACGATGGGTGGGGCTGGGAGTTTATCTCAGTGGCAGAACACTTACATAACACTGTAGACCCAGCTGGCCTCAAATTCAGAGAGCCACCTGCCTCTGCCTCCTAAGTGCTGAGGTTAAAGGTGTGTGCCACCACTGCCTGATTTTTTTTTTTTTAAGTATGTATACTACATACACAAAAGCAAATGTTCAAAACACTTGCTCTATTACTTATGGCAGAATTTGTGGTTTCCGGGTCAGATAGCTCGCTACATGCTGTGTGAATTTAAAACACCACTGCTGAGATGATAATGAAGGAATTACTGATTAGTGTCAGCAGCGATCATCCTTTGGCTCAATGACAGCAGCCAGCAAGAGTGAAAAAGAAAATGTAATTTACTATCAAGTCATTCGCTTCCCAAATGAATAGCCTTTCTGTAACTTAAATTATCATAAAATACTCTACAATAATTACTACTTTCTCTTCAATTGCACACCAAATAAATAACTCAGGCCCAATGACAATCTTTCTATTACAATGTTATCTAGCTCAAACATGCAAGCAAATGCCAAGCTATTTAGTTATCTGTACTATCTTCTCAGAGTGCACACACACACACACACACACACACACACACACACACACACACACACACACACTTAGACTAAAGAAAAGGAATAGATGAGATTGCATTTTTCCTGCCAGGGGTTTTGTTTTCCTATTAAGTTATTACGAGCAACTTTAAAATAGTATTGCAGCTGAAGTACTTGTTCATAATCTCTAATTACTATGTCAATAACAACCAGGCCAGGTATTTATATGCATTTCTCAATTTTCACAATAACCTAAAGAACAAAACTACAATTTCTATTTGACTTATGAGGAAACTGGGTTAAATTGGCTACTAACGTGTCTAAGCCTGAGGAGCCAGCATTAGAGAAAGAGAGCTTTGCCGGGCAGGCGGGTGCAGTGACTCATACTTTAATCCCTGCCCTGGGGAGGCAGAGGTAGGTCACCCGGGGTTTCCAGAGTCCCAGGCTAGCCAGGGCTACACTGTAGGACCTTGAAAGAACTACCTACTCCTTCCTGCCCTTGGATCAGACTGGGCTCCAGTGCTACGTGCTCAGTTGTACAAGAAATGTAGAATACAAGCAAAAAAAGGGAACAACAATATGTTATTACTCCCCAAATAGGCTTACAGACTAGACGTTCCACACGGAAATGGGTATTTTTATAGTCTCAAAGTCCTCAAAATCATCATAAAGGAGGGGAAAACCCTGCAAGACACGCTTGGCAGACCATTACTTTTGCCAGTTACCAAAGGGAGTGCCCACAGTAATGAGACATCTGAAAACTGCCGCCTGACTGGAAAAAACCACGATCAGTTCCAGCACCAGCACCAGCACCGAGGAAGGCGTGGCCAGCAGAAGCCCCGAAAAGCAAGGAGGGGCATCCTTCTGCCAGCACTACTCTGCCCTTCACCTGTGGAGCGCTTAGGGTCCTCAGTGTCAGAGACTACCAAGCTCTGCTGGAGTCGAGGAGGCTGAGACCTGACTACTGTACCTGTCTGAACTGGATTTTTTCGCCATAAAAAGCTTTGCTGGAACTGGTAAAAGTGGAACAGCATCTGAGCATTAGCAATGGCCGGGACCACCTTTATGCAGGGAGGATGTCTAGGAAAAATATCCTTTTTTACTGAACTTCAACTTTTCTGTCTAAAATTGTTTCATCTTCCTAAATTTGGATAAATATCTCTAAACGGCATTAATAAGATAAATTCTTACAATAGCCTATCTTCCCTTTATAACATTTTTTTTTTTTTCCAGAGGCAGTCTCACTGTGTAGCCCAGAGCAGTCTTGATTTCCTTACCACCTGCCTCGGCCTACTGACAGCGGGGTAAGCCACTACCGTCGTACACTGTTCTAAACGGGGAGAAGATTTCCTTACTTTGTGAGACCTCCCAAAGTAGACGATATAGGGATAATCATGATCACTGTCCCACTTCCCTGACAATCCCATTTTAGAAAATAACCTAAGAATCTTCAACCATGACGAGATGATTTGAAATAAGAACACCCATAGCATGTTAAGAATCTGTGTGGGACCTGCAGATAAAACACAGCACTTGGAAAGGCCATGCACCATCCCCCCATCTTCCTCCCCTTCTCCACATCTCCTGGCACACCAGGCTTCAGCCAAGTGAGTGCTCTGCTGTCCACTGGCCCTGCACTCTCTTTTCTTCCTCTGTTCGCAGTGCTCTCTCCGTCTGGAATGGCTCTAGTCATCTCCCTATTTTCAAATATTGCCCATCCTTCACTCTCCAAGCAATGTGCCACTTCCTGGAGTTTGCCCTTATCACTCAATGAAAAGGAAGCCTTTCCTTTTCTTCTGCATTTCAGTCACTTGTACTCTAATAGCAACCCAAGCCAGCTTGCTTTTCTCATCCCTCAGTGTGACGGCAATCTAAAAGACACTGAACATCACAGCGGCACTGGTACTCATTTCACAGGTAAAACAAACCAAGAGGTTGCAACACAAATGGGCATGCTTTGCTAACTTTAAAAACAGTATTTTACAAAAAGCTTTCCCTTCCAGGAAATAATCCCAATGTCCTCATTGTGGAAGATCCCATTTAACCGTCCTTATGAGATCTAGAAAGCCTCCAGTGTGATGAGGGAGGGTGGGTGCAGGAAGGTGGGTGTGGAGAACACAGGACTGTCAAATGGCTTACACAGCAGGTTCATGTAGTGCAGACAGGAAAACGGGAAAGCATAGCAGAAAGCATAACGGAAATCGAGGCTGGGGAGACAGGTGATACACATGCACCTGGAGCAGCACAGCTCGCTTTGCTGCTCCAGGATGCACTGTGCCTTCACTGAGAGGAGTAAATGTCTTCTGTTTAGAAGTGCACATTTCCCCCTTCTACTGACGGTGGTTATCAAACAAACAAAATACTAGGGAAAACAAACCTTTCTTTTATGAGTTACAAATTTCTAACCACAGTGGGTCTGAATGTCCATGAAGCCATTGTTTCAGAAGTGACTCTGAGCGAGCAAGATTTTCATCAGTTCAACTAAGGTAACCAGGACTGTGCTTTGTAGTTCACATGTTTAAAAAACACTTAAGCAAAAGCGAATCTTGGCTTCTAAGTTATGACTGCCACCATATACCAGGGATAGACAGTAACTAAATCCCACAGGGGCTTATTCAAAGGGAACAATTCTTTTTCCTATGCCACAATTATCTCTATTATTCATTTGGGTTTAAATGTTTTTCTTAGGCTTCAAGCACACAGAGCCACCTTATGAATAAATCTAGCTGTTCTGTATTTCATTACTTTTTA